ATTTCTACAATTTATATTTCCTCACTTTATATTTTGGCAATTTATTTTACAACAATTTATATTTTTACAATTTATACTTCAACAATTTACATTTTTGCATTATATGTTTCCACACTTTATATTTTGACAATCTATATTATAGCAATTTACAATTTAGTAATTTACTTTTCTGAGATTTATGTTGCCACATATTATAATAATATATTTATGAATATATATGTGTATACATTCTAATTTATATTTAAGAAAATTTATAATTTTGAAATTTATAATTATCGTTTATGTGCATAATAACCTATGTAACATCCTCTATAATTGACTAGCATAAAGAATATCACATTAATTCTGTAATCTTATTTTAAATTAAAGAGTATAAGATTCTAACGCAGCGTATATAAAAGAAGACATATTATAAAACAATCTTAAATTTAATTGTACATCAAACAATATGTCGAGTTCACTAGTACATCTGGATTAAACTAGATTACATCAGAGAAGGTAGTAAGCATATAAACTATAGGTGTCTTAAGTCTCATCTAGTTTGCTCTACGTGTAAAAGTCTCTATTTTGTTAAGGTAGAAAATAGCATCCACTCCTTCTTCACCAACCATGATGTAAACATTTGTACGATCCTTATAAAAGTACATTGTTATTCCCCATCCTTCACCTGTCAACCATAGGTTAGGCATTCTTTCTTTCTAGAAATGTTAGCATAAACATAAACACACGTGAGATAAATCTCAGTAATTAAGGGTGTTAACGAACCAAGTCGGGTCAGACTTTGATCTTAAAAGGCTAAGTCTGTGTTTAAATGCGTTAGCCTGACCTAACCTATTACTTGTTATTAATATAATTATCGATCTGTAGCTTGTCTTATTTACAAAAAAATAAAAGTCTGGTTTAGTCTGTTAAAAAAATAAGACAACAACATTAATAATTCCACAAAGATTTATGAATCAATGTATATCCAAATAACATAATATAGAACAAAATTAGGAGAATGAGATTTTACTCTAATATTACCTTTCTCTTTTCCTTTCCCCTTTCTTTTCCTCTTTCTTTCTATTTTCTTTTCTTCAACTTTCTCTTTCTCTTTCTTTTCTCTCATTTCTCTTTCTCTCTCTATTTCTTTTCTAAATGAATTTTACAAGGGGATATATATATATATATAAAAGGAATCTAATAATTACTTTTATAAAAATCTAAAACTAATTATTACTTTCAATAAATATCTAAAAACTTAATCATTACTTATCTTAAATATCTAAGATATTTATTATAGTTACAAATATCTTTTGTGATCATCTTTTAGTCAAAGATGTCATTTTAAAAATATTTTCAAAGATGCCAAAATATATTATTATTATTTTTTATTATATTTGAAAAATACAGCCTATATGTGATAAATATTGTATGCATTATTTAGTTGTTTATTTTCATTCTTCATGTTTATTATATTGATATATTATGTATTTAATTTTTTTTTTTGTAAATTATCACGGTAAATTTTTGTACAGTAAAAATTCTTATAACTCATATTTTTTTTTTAGATTTAATGTAGTGATGTGATTGTTCTTACTTTTATTGCAATTTAAAATTTAATTAATGATATGTTATTATTTAGAATTTATTATTATGGGATCGTTTCAGAGGTATCCACATGTTGTCTGCTTAAAGAATTGATGAGATTCCTCTTTTAAGCTACTCTAAATATATGCATGGTCAAGAAATTGGGTTTCTTGAGTCAATGAACATATTCCTTAAACAAGATGAAGCAGGGGAATGCCCTTGCAATGCATAGGGCTATGATATATAGAAAAATACATGCTTACGAAAATGTCTTGGCAGATAATGATACTTATATATTTGTGATGTTAGACTATTTTCAAATATTAGGATGTTAATATTATTCATTTAAAACCATGAATGATTTTTTCATACTAAGTTATGGTTGGAACACTACACTTTTGCAAAAAAACCTTTTAAATTGTTATCTTCATTAGGATAAAATTCTCATTAAGCATGTGTTTTCAAATATGGAGGACAGAGCTTAAAGTAGATGTTGTGTGTATGCAAGGAAGAAGTATTAGCAAATAAAGTCTACATTTTATCTGGTTGTAATGTGTACTAGACCATATTTATATGATGATTACAATATTTGTATTTTGTAGGGGTTACTAAATACTCTGTTGTTGTAATTATTTTTTTGTAAGCGTATTGTTTGTACTTTAATATTATGGAATAAAGTCAATTCCAGTAAGATTTATATTTCAAGTCTTCTGTATAATATACGTATAAAATTAGATATGAAATACGTAAGTAACATTCTTCGATTAATAATCGAAAGATGTTACAAAACTTGTCAAAAAATTGGCATATGTATCCCATAATGAATTAATGGATTAAGTGCGAGAAGATGGATGAAGATATGCATTAGAAAAGGCGCAACTCAATGCTTGTTGTGCCTCTTCTGATGCGCAATCAATTGCGCCTAAAACGATGTGAACTAGTTGTAATACTTTCGTAAATTGGTTTCAAATCGCTATATTTTCATTTTTTTATTTAAAATACAATTTTTAAATTTTTCCCTATGTGATGCCCATAAATAATTACTGTCGTCTGCAATAATTATTATAAAACGTTATAATTTATGTTTTTAATTATTTTCATGGGATAGGATATTGTGACACCCAAGTTATGTTATACCCATGTGACACCCAGTCAATCTCACCGTTAGATCGCTTATGTTGATCCAACGGTTATATTTATTTCCATCTTTGTATGGTCATGATTTGCCAAATTTAATATTTTATATTTATTTCTACCTTTGTATGGTTATGATTTTCCATATTTAATGCTTTCACTTTAAATTTGGGAAATCATGACCATACAAAGATGGAAATAAATATAACCGTTGGATCAACATAAGCGATCTAACGGTGAGATTGACTGGGTGTCACATGGGTGTAACATAACTTGGGTGTCACAATATCCTATCCCTATTTTCATATCGCAAACAATTCAATTTTTGAATATCAATTAATATCTTATTTATAAATTTATGCAAAAATCTTTAATTTATTAGAAATAGCTTAAATTTTACAATATTTACTACTATCATTTGCATAAAAAATATTAATTATTGATATCTTATTATGCAATTAAATTATTATTTTTTACTTTTGTTAGTATAGCTATATTTAAAAGAAAAAAGAGAGAATCCATGAGCAAAGACAGTTATCTTTTTGTCCCTTTGCAGAACTTTGTCAAAGAGCAGTTTGAAAGGGTTGGAACGTAGTTGAAGGTTGAGAGTTGAGACTTTAAAGTTGAAAACCAAGTCAGTAGCCACCACTTTAATATATAATTCACTTCAAATTATTATTATCATGTGCAATAATTAACTTCAATTTTCTTATTAGTTCCGAGTTTCTTTTCTTTTCTTTTTTTCCTTTCTTTGTTAGCTGTAAAGTTAGGTTCAGGGGTAGGTTTCCTCCATTCACCTCGAAGACTTTCCAAGTGAATCAAATTTCAAATGCACATGTAATTTTAAGATTAGATCAAATATAAAAAGTATAAATTATACAAATGTGTATAATAAATTAAAAATGTTAAAATTTACACATATCTTTATTTAAGAATGAATAAACTAAAGAATTTAATTATTGTAAAACTTTAATTTAATATATAAAATTTGATAATACCAGAAACTGTTTTTTGTATTTTTGTTGTGATCTTTTATTTTTTCCTAGAAATAACAAATCTGCCACGTGTCATAGCTAATACCATTAATAGTAGCAACTCGCAAGATGGTTTTGCAAACTCGTCTATTCCACTGTTACAATCTTATATATGTTTGAAAATTTCTTATGTATGTTTAGCAAGCGCAAAACGACATAAGTTTAATGATTAGTATGCTATCCGAAAAAGGAATACTGTACTGCAAAGATCATACGAAAACTTCATCTATTTATCTTCGAATAGTAATTTTATAATATCTATCGACGAAAAAAGTTAGAAGAAATGAAAAATCTCATATATCATTATTTGCTACCTTTAAATACTTCAGTATTATATTATTCTATTATTATTATCGACGGGATTTTTTCTATCTCCACCATTGAATTTATAACATGGCCCACATAACCAATTTACTTGATGGAGATTTTTCAAATAGTAGTTCCTCTTCTTAGAAGATGTGGCAAATTTATCCAAATCTCCTCTTTATTTTGTCGAGGAACAAGCCATCATTACTAATATTATCGTTCATGTTATTTAAACGCCTTATTCGAAGGAAGAAATTACAAATACTCTTATGGAAGTTAAGACAATAAAATTTAAAACTTAATTTTTTTTTTCTAGAAATGTCACTAAACTAAAATAAATCTAAAAATGATTACAATTTTTTACCTCTGATAATTTTCAAGTGGGCAAATTGTTTTAGCAAACCTTGATATTTAATAACAAGTGCAACGTAAATACTTTTTGGATTTAATTTCATGAGGGGGAAAATAGCAAATACTATAGCATTAAAATGCTCATTGAATGATATCAAAAAAAACAAAATGCTCATTGAAAATGAAAACCAAATAGTGAAAGGTGGGGGTGGGTCCACAAGACCCACATCATTAAGTCCACGATATGAAAATGTTGTCCCAACGAGTGGCAGCCATTCTCGCCGACTATCATAGTGTTATGATAAAAATCCTATTTTCCCCCCCAAAACCTTCTCATCTTAGAGTCAAAGATATGCAATGGGAACCAACCTGCTACTGCTGTCAGCAACTCATAATAAAGTTAAATCAATTAATTACACACACTCTTTCAAAATGATTCTCCTTCTTCTCTGTCTAGCCACAAACTAACAAAATCATAGACTAGAAAGTCTACAAACAAGGTGACCAAACATGCTGTTAAACCAAATTTAGATTATTTAAGATGCAAACTCAATTGGGTGTCTCTCCTTCCGCTTCTGTTTGAGTATTCTTACTCCAAAATCAGACATGAATTCCATTCATCTCCTCCTTTCTCTGTTTCTATTGGTTGCATTTTCCAATCAGCATATGGTTTATGGAAATGCAGAGGTTAGAGTTCTGATGGACTTGAAATCCTCTCTGGACCCAGAAGGAAAGATCCTTAGCTCGTGGATCAGTGATGGTGATCCATGCAGTGGCTCGTTCCAAGGGATTGAGTGTAACGAGCACGGCAAAGTGGCCAACATCTCCTTGCAGGGAATGGGACTTTCAGGGTGGCTCTCTCCAGCTGTGGCTGAACTCAAATGCTTATCAGGCTTATATTTGCATTATAACAATCTTTCTGGTGAGATACCCACACAGATTTCAAATCTCACTGATCTGGTTGATCTCTATCTCGATGTTAATAATCTATCTGGAACCATTCCTCCTGAGGTCGGCAACATGGCTAGTCTTCAAGGTAAGTAAGTATACAATATAATCTTATGGTATATTTCAAGTTATATATAGTAGTTTAATTTTACAACTCTAAATTTATGTAGGTGAAGAAGATACCTAACTTCTAGTCGTATGAATTGATCATATGAATTTGTTGCCAAAGCCAAACACTGATTGTTATATAGTTTGCTTGGACATGTATTATGAATATGCTTGGTTTAAGTTCCATAAGTTAATCCAAGTTCACTTTTATTTTGTCCAGTGCTGCAGTTGGGCGATAACCAGTTGGTGGGTAATATACCTACACAGTTGGGTTCCTTGAAGCAGCTTAGTACTCTTGCTTTGCAATATAACAAATTAACAGGTCAAATTCCTCTTAGCTTGGGAAACTTAGAGAAGCTAAGCAGGCTAATTTTGAGCTTTAACAACTTCAGTGGTATGATTCCCGCAGCACTAGCCACTACTGCACATTTGGAAGTTCTAGATATTCAAAACAATTCTCTATCAGGGAATGTTCCTTCAGGCATGCCTCTACCCTCCTTTCCTTGTCGTATAGTTTACTTGAGTTTATACCTTTTTCCTTCCCCCCACCCCATATTTTCTTCGTATATCTCTTTGTGCATTTTAGTATATATTGATTTTAACTTTTTGAAAATGAAAATGAAGCATTGAAGAGACTTGGGCAAGGATTTCAAGGTGCAAACAACCCAAGGTTATGTGGAGTTGGGTTTTCTACTTTGAGATCTTGCAACAAAGATAAAGATTTAGACGTTAACCATATTTACACCTCAGATCAAGACCTATCCAAAAGTAGTAATCCTCCAAAGGCTCTTCCCGAGCCTGCAAATATCCAGCTGCATTGCAACCAGACCCATTGTTCAAAATCAAGAAGGTTTCCTCATACTGTCATCACAGCAAGTGTTATAACTATCACTCTCTCATTCATAGGCGCTGGATTTTTAACATTCATCAGATACCGCCGTCAAAAGCAGAGGATTAGGAATGCATCAAGTTCTTCTGAAGGGAAACTTAGTCCTGACCAGTCCAAAGAATTCTACAGCAAAAGTCCATCAGCACTTGCTAATGTTGAGTATTGTAATGGATGGTATCCATTGTCTGATGGTCAAAATGCTGGTGGATTATGTAATGAATATCTAAACCAATTTAGGTTTAATGTGGACGAGGTTGAATCTGCAACACATTACCTTTCAGAAGCCAATTTACTGGGTAAAAGCAAATTCTCAGCAGTTTATAAAGGAGTTCTCAGGGATGGTTCTCTTGTGGCAATTAGAAGCCTTAGCGTGACATGCTGCAAAACCGAGGAAGCTGAATTTGTAAAGGGGTTGAGCTTATTAACCTCACTGAGACATGAAAACCTTGTTAGGCTGAGAGGTTTCTGTTGCTCAAGTGGTAGAGGTGAATGTTTCCTTATCTATGACTTTGCCACCATGGGTAACCTGTCTAAATATCTTGACATGGAGGATGGAAGTGGCAATGTGCTTGAGTGGTCCACAAGGGTTTCTATCATCAAGGGCATTGCAAAGGGTTAGTTGTTCTTCCTAATTGCCTATATTCTCTAAGCAACAAATGTTACAACACAAAAAGTTCAGGAAAACTGAATGACTCTCAATGTCATGCTGAATAAGATACTACTTTAGATCATACATATATATTTCTTCTTTCTGGTTGATAATTGCTATTCGTTTATGAACAGGTATTGGATATCTACACAGCAATGAAGCTAGCAAACCTACGATAGTACACCAGAATATTTCAGTGGAAAATGTTCTCCTTGACCATGAGTTTAACCCATTGATCATGGATGCTGGACTACCTAAGCTTCTTGCAGATGATGTTGTTTTCTCAGCTCTAAAAGTAAGTGCTGCCATGGGATACCTAGCTCCCGAATACATTACTACCGGACGCTTTACTGAGAAGAGTGACATATACGCATTTGGGGTTATTGTACTTCAAGTTCTATCTGGCAAGAAGACAATAGGTAGTTCAATAAGGATGGCAGTTGAGTCTTTCAGATTTGATGATTCTATTGACACAAATCTTAGGGGAAGATATTCTAAATCTGAAGCAGAGACCCTTTCAAAGCTTGCAATGTTGTGTACTCATGAGCTTCCTGACCAAAGACCAACCATGGCAGATGTGATTCAGGAGTTGAGCGTGTTTCCTGCTCATTCATGATGATCTACTACTTTCTATTGGTATAATAAGGATACGTTGATACAATTCCTAATTGCTGGGTTTCACCCATTGCTATTATTTCCATGTTACCTAAATTAGCCATTGCCAAATAATTATAAATTTAAATGGATTCTTCTCCTGCCTATTGCGAACAACTGGGATTGTTGAAGGATATCTTTTTGCTGTAAATCTAAGGGTGACGAGGGGTAGGCTTTGGCTAATAGCTATCCAAAAATTTCTCTGAAGTATGCTAACGAATTATTGGTGGTTTGTTGAGATTACTCGCTACTCAGAATCCTTGCAATTACAATAGCACCGCTTAACCAAAACTAAAGATTAAAGAACATTCGTAATTTTTTTTTTTTTTTAAAAAAATCTTATATAACTTTTAAATGTTAATTCCTTATATATATATATATATATATATATATATATATAACCTGTTAGGGGCTAGGGACCCTACTCTAGAGTATTACCAAAAGGGATTCCCACTGAGGAGCTCATAAAGAAAAAAGAAAATGAAAATACGTTCTACTGAGGTATGAAACCCCTTGGCAGAAAATTACAAGCAAATGCCTGTTTTCTCTCTTTTTAACGTACACCAAAGTGACCAAACTGTCTCTAGGTAGAAGGTAAAATCCTTACACAGTATTGCATACAGCCATCAGACCCCATGACAAAGAATTGCTGTTGTGATTGCCTATGTATTTCAATATGGTAATTGGAAAGGTAAACTTTCAAGGGAATGTGACATATGACCCAAAAGAAAAGAAAAGAAAAAATGCATGAGAAGCATTGCTGAATTTATTTTTTGTGGGGGTGGGGAGGGTTGGGCTGTATCGTTTTTCTGATGCAGTAGTCGTTAAAATGCAAGACACTAAAAGCTACAAGTTCACACTATTTACAATCATGTATGGTTGAAACAACTGGCAAAAGGATAGTTTTGTGCAGGTACAAAAACCTGGTATATGATATGATTCTTTTCTAATTTGCCAAACAAAGTTGTTTTACGTAAAGATTCTCAGGAGGAAAAATGGCAAACTACATTACCATGATGAAATTTATTCCGCATTAAAATCTACAACAGCCATCGCATAGTTCCTTTTTTACTAGCCGTTCACCCACTGGAAGCATTAGGATTACATTAACTCCATGTTTACAAGCTATTCACCCGCAAAATTGTTCATAAATTTGAACTGTCTTGCGTATCCTAGGCAAAAGCAGAGTGCTGTTGATGATCTTGAAGCCATTCAGAAGGCCACCAATCTGGTCTGCTAGCGACAACCTTCACATCCTCTTGTCCTTGAATGGATAAGGCACCGGACCCCTTCAAAGCTTCCTCTAGTCGCAAGAGCCCCAGTCCACGACCTCCTAGGGCAGTAGTCACGGCACCAGCTTTTTTGCCAGATGCCGTGTTCATTACTTCTGAGCCTGGAATGACTTTGTTTAATAATTCTGGAATAGCAGAAAAGGAATGGCTCAGAGTGCATCATTATATAACAGAAAAGAAAATAATAAAGAAGCCAAATACTATTTGGAGCATTACCTTTCCCATCCTTAGCGAGAAACCTTAGAGGAACTATGCGCTTTCGAATCACCCCTCTGTGGTGTGTCCGAGCTATGAGTTCCTGGCCCACATAGCAGCCTTTGTCAAAGCTAATTGCATTAAGGCCTGCAAGATTATACTCAAGTGGTACTGCCTCACCTGGACATGGTCAATTAATTAAGATATTGGAGACAGAGAACTCATCAAAAGAATGCTTTTCAGGAGTTTCTACAAGGAAACAAATATACACCTTTTGGAATCTCAGTTGATCCTTCTGCTACTCCCTTTTCTATTCTCCATAGAAGGTAATTCTGTTCATCAGTTTCTTTGTCAACCTCAACTAGAGGTGCTGAAACAGGTAGAGATGAGAGGGAATATTTAGACCAAATGTATAATATAAAAGATTGCAGTCATAAAAAGATACAAATCTTATTAGCTGTAAAGGAATAGCTAACTAACGAATTATATTTGATGGGAAGATCCCTCTGAAACCAAGACAGACCAATCTGGGATCCTTAAACCACTGCCAGCCAAGATTACTCCCATGTGAAGCTGACATTGCAGCACGATCCACACCAGCACCCCAGCCAACAGAGGCTGCTTCTGGTTCTTCTACATGGGAGGACTTCTCAGGAATGCCAGCACCATAACGCTGCCAGCATGAGAAATCGTTTGTGACATTATCAATCTCAACCTTCGACCTCAACCGGTATCTGCAGCACTAAAATGTTAAGGTCTCAGCAACCAAATCTCAGAAATAAGAAGAGAGAGAGAACCGGAAAAAGATTAATTGCAATTAAGAAGGACCGACCAAAGTATAAACTGGCTTGCTCTGACCAATTTGAAAATAAGATGCTTAGGCAAGCCGAATGATCTACTTTGTGCATGCTAACAGTTAGTTCATCAGGCTTTATGACATCCATAAGCAACATAGCATAATCACAGACAGAGAGAATCTTAGGTGCAAGAGAAATCTCTCATTCTTTACCATTCAATATCTATCAGCTATAATTTTATTTTTTCTTGGGTACACTAGCAGCTATAACTTTAAAGATGTTAAAGTCGGAGACAGGCTGTTACGACCCATAACTGATATTAGGGGCTCAACAGTAAGCAGAGATGCAGAGAATAATATTCCTCTACGCTGACTCATCATGGAGGGAAAGTTTGTTAGGGAATTCAGTTAAATAGGGAGCAGCGCTGAGGGAGTGGGGGATCTTTTTGGACAATTGGGACTTAGGATCTTTGGGAGAGATCAGGGGCTCTCCAACTCCTCTGAATCTATCTTTCTTTCCTTTATTTTGCAATCTGTTTCTGTTATCTGTGATTAGGGAGAATCTTGGATTAATACTGTCCTTAGTGTTGATGTTTAATTGTTATTGATACTGTTGATTGAGAAATATATAGAAATTGTCTCTGTTTTTGGGTTTATTCTTGAATCTGTGAGATCAGTTTGTTACAATATTGTTACGACCCATAACTGATATTAGGGGCTCAACCGTAAGCAGAGATGCAGAGAATAATATTCCTCTACGCTGACTCATCATGGAGGGAAAGTTTGTTAGGGAATTCAGTTAAATAGGGAGCAGTGCTGAGGGAGTGGGGGATCTTTTTGGACAATTGGGACTTAGGATCTTTGGGAGAGATCAGGGGCTCTCCAACTCCTCTGAATCTATCTTTCTTTCCTTTATTTTGCAATCTGTTTCTGTTATCTGTGATTAGGGAGAATGTTGGATTAATACTGTTCTTAGTGTTGATGTTTAATTGTAATTGATACTGTTGATTGAGAAATATATAGAAATTGCCTCTGTTTTTGGGTTTATTCTTGAATCTGTGAGATCAGTTTGTTACAATTGGTATCAAAGCTCTCTTTCTTGGGAGAGTTGAATGGTTTGGACCAGAACTATGGATCATCGATTGGAAGCAATGGAGGCGAGGGAGAGAAGAACGGAGGAGGGACTTCGACGTGTAGAGGCAGGGTTAGTTGAAGCAATCAGATCGCTGCAGGATCTGACAGCGGAAAGGAATCGACAAAGGAATAAAGATCAACAGAGAACGGTTCAGAAATCACAAGTTCCGGTTGCACCACATCCACCAGTGGTGGTTGTCAAATCACCACCTCCACTGGAACCACCGGACTCAAACTTTCATGAAAAGAAAAAGAAGTCTCTGCAACACATCCTTGGACGAAGACAATGGCGACAAACGCGTGCAAAAGCAAATGAGAAGAGAGATATCGTGAAAGAGGAGATGCACCTTGTTGACGCAAAGGTGGGCGAAATCTAGCAAGGAAAAAGAAACCAAATGGAGATCGTGAGAGTAGATGGAAACAATTCTTTGGTCTCACCGGAGATGATAAAGAAAGCTCAGAGAATAGAAAGGAAGAAATGGGCCCTAGTTTCTAAAGGTTGGAAGGGGAACGAGCCCAACAAGACAAACGGGCCAATAATTCGTGAAGCCCAATCTGTTTTTCAGGTTAATACTAGCAATTCAAGCCAAATGGAGGATTCGGGTTCGGGTAAAAAAATTTGGTCCGTGGGTAAAGTGAGTAACAAAGTACCAGAAAATTCCAAGAACTCAATTGGGACTCACGTGAACCCTAGCGCACAAACCAACCCCATCCAACGATCCATGGAGAGCTTGTCCAGCAACACACAACGCGAGGGAAGTCATCGCTTGCCTCAGACGGTGCTGAAGAAACATTCTCGTCTTGACTTGTGCTTTCGTTGTGAAGATCGATGGAGCCTTGGTCATAAATGCAAAGCCAAGCAGCTGAATCTTCTAGTGGTTGACGACGATGACATTTGGGAGGGCGACGAACAACAGGAAAACACAAAGGAGGCAGAAGCTGTCCAAGTAAACGCTACCTTGCAACTGCCGACACAAAGTCTAAGGGGTATTTCTTCAAGTCGAACGATGAGAGTTTGGGGTGAAGTAAATGGTAAAAGGGTGGTGGTTTTAATCGATAGTGGGTCATCCCACAACTTCATCAAAACTGACGTTGCGAAGGAACTTCAGCTTCCAAAATCCAAATGGGTCACGAAAGTCAAATCTATGCTTTGGGTCATATTTCCTTCCTCAAGTACAGAGTGGCAGCAAAGCCTTATGGCAGAAATCCATCAACTTAATGGCGGACTGTATGATTGTGATGAGAACAAAAGGAGCATTGGTCATGAAAATTCTGGTGATGATAACAAAGTGGTTTCTGTTCCAGTACTGCAAGTTATTCAAACCCATCCCTGCTTTATGATTTCTGCAAGGGTTGTTTGTATTCTGGTTTCAACCATGAGATCAATGCGTTGAATATACTTCAAGGGTGGGAAAGCAACGATGTCATTAACGCAGAGGGACAAGGGGAATGGGATCCGGGGGGAGTTTATATTTCTGCAAGCATATGTTGGCATTTACAGTTCACACAATGGGATCCCGATGGTGGGTTATGTTGCTTCATACATCGATTGGCCCTTATATTTCAAGCAGTGAGATCCTGGGGGAGGACACTAGTTTACTGACCATCACCTTGAGGACAAGGTGAACCTTTTGGGGGGAGTATTGTTACGACCCATAACTGATATTAGGGGCTCAACCGTAAGCAGAGATGCAGAGAATAATATTCCTCTACGCTGACTCATCATGGAGGGAAAGTTTGTTAGGGAATTCAGTTAAATAGGGAGCAGTGCTGAGGGAGTGGGGGATCTTTTTGGACAATTGGGACTTAGGATCTTTGGGAAAGATCAGGGGCTCTCCAACTCCTCTGAATCTATCTTTCTTTCCTTTATTTTGCAATCTGTTTCTGTTATCTGTGATTAGGGAGAATGTTGGATTAATACTGTTCTTAGTGTTGATGTTTAATTGTAATTGATACTGTTGATTGAGAAATATATAGAAATTGTCTCTGTTTTTGGGTTTATTCTTGAATCTGTGAGATCAGTTTGTTACACAGGCCCACATAGTTGAGGAAGTAGACATTGAATCACACAGTTGAGGAGGTAGACATTGAATGATACATGAGATTTCTCATGTCCACAAAGAACCTAGGAATTTCTCACATGTTCCAAAGAGTGGCTAAATGCCCGAACAAAAACGTCCATATCACAAAACATCCTCTCCACTCTCTTCAAATAACCACCTACTAGAGCGTCATTCCCCACATTTGGGACACACCCACTCCCCTCCACACATTCTAGAACCTTTCACAACCATCTATATACACACATTCTTTGGCCATTTGCTTACTGCACTCTTGTATACACCCCTAAGCGCGGTAGGTGAACACACCACCACCCTACGGAAACCACTGGTCCACCACACTAGCACCCAGATCGATCATTGAAGAGACCTGGTTCATCTATACTATTTCGATCCAGATAACAACATATTAGTCCTCTTTAGTGGGCTGAGCACACTTCTGAACAGAAGTCATGGAACTATTTTCGGATCAGAGATATTATGTTTATGATCCCTATCTAATTGGTAATTGGCTAACTGCCAACAACTAAAAGAAATAAAAGTGAATTACAAAAAAGCAAAAACCAAGGACACATCTGTTTCAAGGTTTATGATAATGTATTTCTCAGAAAGATGTTTGGTTCGCATTTAATATTTTCAAGAATATTTTTCAAAACTCAAAATGATTGGAGTGGAAGTTAATAATTGTGTTACAATTCCATTCTGATGTCAATGGAAAGCACATAACCACCCTTCGTCATGGGAATAGAAATCATCATGGAAATAAAAAATGAAGCAAAACACTTTCTTGGAAGTCAATAATGCCCATAAATATTTTTTTAAAGCTGGAACAAACATGGAAATGTCATATTCCAAGAATAACTTAACAATCCCCGAAAGAAAGGCATACTAATTGGTAATTGGAAGTCAATGAACTCTCTCTCTAGCTCTTGCCATTAGCAACCCTGATTCGTAGCATTGTAAAATTAACACCAAATAGATACATCTTTACAGTAGCCGAATTCACCAAGTAAGGACAAAATAGCAAGAATCAATAAATAATACAGAAAAAAATAAATCAAACTCCATAGCAAGAATCAATAAACCCAGGAAGACAAGGAAACTCACTTGTTGAAGGTTTGCAACAATTCATCCAACACAGAAGCATCCACATCGGCAAACAAATCAAAGGGTTCATCGGGGTCAGACCCAGGTCCAGTCCCGGTCTTATCAAGCTTGGTGTTGGACCTGGGCGGCTTATAGAGAAAGAGGTCATAGAGGAATCTCCCTTGAGGGGTCAATAACGCAGCATATATAGGAGGAACCGACGCAACATCCACGTTGGGTGTAGGCAAATTTTCGGTATTTTCACCAATGGGTTCACCAAATCGCCGTACATCGTTGGTCAACAGGCCCTGAAGAAACTTAACGGTGTCAGGTCCTCGGAATCGTATAACGGAACGGGACTTGAGGAGAGAGGCCACGGGACCAGCACTTTGGAGATCAGTTCCGCGATGGTCAGAAAACTGCTTGCGGGTGGTGTGGTGGATGGCTCTGCAACGGTGCCCAAAGAATTTGGAAAATGCAACACGGTTCATGGCTACTATTGTTTTTGGAAATGAAGAAGAAGAAAAAGAAGAAGCTGATGATGAGCACAACACAAGCCAGGACTCGGGAGGTTTCAGTTTCGAATAGGCCTCGTGGTTAGTTCGAGCATTGACACGTTAGGTTAGAGATCGATAGGTGTTCGATGAAAGTCGTGTGAGGGAATCCACTCGTCAGCTTCTAGCTTAGGCCTTATCCAAAAAATTTAATTATTTTTCTGAAGTTACCAATCTTATAAAGGGATATATTTTTCTTATGTTGTAGGAAAAGAATTACCTTATGTTGTAGAAACAAAAGTATAAATGGGACCCACATGTAAAAGGAGAGAGAAAAAAAAGCGGTGGGACCCAACCTCTTTTTGTGTGTGTAGGAGAGATGTTTATCTCATGTAAAATGAGATAAACATAACCCTCTTATAAAATAGGGTTGGAGAAGTCACACAGAGAGAGAGAGAGAGCGAAAAAAGAACCTTGGCCAGGGAGGTAAAAGAAGCATAAAAATTACACCTCATGACCGAAATTAATCAGCAAAGGATGAAGGATTTACTAGCGAAGAGAATAACAAACAAATAATGTGTTTCGACAGATAAAATGCCCTGTATAGATGCTGCACGAAATTAAAATATAATATTTGAAGTCAGAGACTCAAAGAGACCGTACAATAAAAACCTTGTTCAACATCTCAACTCAAATGGTCAAAGTAATTTTTATGGACTAAGAAATAAGAATGGAATATTTGTGGAATGTACGGAACATTACGATTGAGCCAGCGGTCAGTAATTTCCGAGAGTGCAAGTTGGAATCAAATATTAGGGAAGCAACTTGGGGAGGCGTACAAAACCATTGTACTTCCAAGACCAACAGAAGAAGGATTAGTGACAATTTTTTTAACAATAAAGTGAAAATGATTATTTTAATAAGAATAGATACTTATCACCAAAAAAATTTATTACCTTTATAATTAATCTAATCACCTTTGATTTCTGTCAATCTTACGGTTATAATTTATTGGAAATTAATAATTATTAATAAAAGCGATCCAATAATTTCCAATAAATTATAACCGTTAAATTGACGGAAATTAATGATGATTAAGTTAGTTGTAAAGGTTGTAAACTTTTTTGGTGGTAAGTATATCCTTCTCCATTTTAATGAGCTTATCGTTTCTCAAATATCTTCGCCACTAAATCATAACGATACAAAGATTTATTAATGGTAATAAAAAAATAGAGAATCATAATTATTTAACGGTAAATCAATTAATATAAAAAAAATAAACAAAATGACGTAATTTTGAGGTAACCAAAAAAATATATATATCAACCAGCTATGTAGCACGGATACGTTACTTTTTTGAAATTTTGCGTGTCGGACACGCGTCCGACACGGACACGCTCCGACACGCGGTCAACATTTGGGGACACACGGTCAACTCTCTGACACGTTTCGACACGTTTTTCTGACACGCAGTTAACGCTCGGATACGTTTTTTTTAATCTTTATTTTATTTTATTTACATCTTTTCAAAGAAATAATTTATAAATTAATTTTTTTCTGTTATGAAATTTGACATTAAAAATTAACAAAGTACGAAAAATTATTTATATTTATATTTATGTTATGAAATTTAAATATTTGATTGGTTATATGACTTATTATGGACTCTTATATGTTTTAAATATAAATTATATTATATATATTAAAAATTTTATTTAATATCAAAACATGTCTCAACGTGTCAAAATATGACATTTTTTAAAATTAACGTGCCGGCATGTCATGTCGTGTCTCGTGTCCGTGTCCGTGCATCATAGTCAACCAGTTTGAGAAATATTTCTCTATTTTAATTGCTGGTTTGAATGAATAACTGAAATTTATCACCATTCATTTCCAAATTATATAAAACACAGTAGTTGAACTTAAGATTTAATTAAGAAGATATCATCTGATAAAAAAAAATAAAATCATAACGATAATTTTCAATACCAGCTTTGAAATATAATGCAAAGTAAAGCCATTTCGATTACGTGGTACATGGAATTGATGTAAAATACTATTAAAATTAATTTAAATAATATAGATAATTCTTATTTAAGAAATTAACTTTTTCATTCATAATTTTTCAATTTACCTTTTTAAAACTTATTTTTGAATAACAAAAACTGTTATTTTTTAGAAAATTTAAAATGTGTACAATTTTGGGGTAATTTTTTTAATAATTATAAATTATTTCATATTCAAACTATTAAAAGAAAACTTACACACTGTTATAACCAATGTTGTTAAAAACTTAAAATTGAGATTTTAAGTGAAATGAAAAGGAGACTAAAAAATCGTAAAACATAAAATTGTAATATAAATAAATTATAAAAACATAAAAGCGTTTGAAATATTGGTAAAAAATTTTTGATAAAAAAATTGTAAAAACTTAGAATCGTAGTGATAAATCGAGATTTTAACCACTATGATTATAACTATCATCTTTAAATCACAAATCACTTTTTTATTTATTTTCTCCTTTATTAAGGATATCTTATGCTCTTGTATTTCTTCCACCCACCCTTTATTATAATTTATTTTTCATTATAAAATACAAAAGTTATGTGATAAAGGACAACACCAGACACAAAAATAACTTTGAAGCTAATTTAGAACTAAATAACATTAAAATAACAAGACCCTGGAAAAATAAGTCCATGGAAAAAATAAACTACACAAATTTCTGTAGACATAAAAAAACTGGAAATATAATCTTGAGTTATAAAAATATATTTGGAAATAAAAAATATAAATATAAATAATAAATAATTTATTTTTAGTATAAAATATAAAATTTATATGATAAAGAACAACACCAGACATAAAAAAAAATCAAGCTAATTTAGAAGTAATAAACTTATAAATAACATTGAAATAACAAGACATAACTGAAAAAAATAAGGCCATGAAAAAATTAAACTATATAAATTGCCTATCTATTTAATCTTTTTATTGTTATTACTTTTTATTAGCATTAGATTGTATTTAAATCAACAGTTGAAGGATAGGGACATTAAATCAACAGTTATAAAAAAATTATATTTAAGATCGTTGATTTAAATTTAATCCAACGATGATAAAAAAATAATAAGAATAGGAAGATTAGAAAGGTAGGCAATATAAGAGTCTCCCTACAAATATTGATGCTTTTACTATAGAAATATTTTTTCTCCCGTACCCATAAAAGTGAATGAGGTCTCTTTAATTTTTTCTCTTTCTTTATTTCACAACGAGATTCATTCATTTTCATGGTGTGACGGAGAAAATATTTTTATAATAAAAAAAAATATTAAACCCAGAAATAATATATAAGGATTGATGGTATGATAATTCCATAAAGAAAATTATATCTACGTAAAGTTTGTTTTGATTCTGATTGAATCGAATTTCAAAATCGAAACCAAAAACTGATTAAACCTAATAAAAAAATTTAATTTTTCTCTCTTTTATTTATAATTTTTTCATTTTTTTCATTCGGTTTTTTGCGATTTTCATAATTATATTATATTATGAACACTACTTCAATATTTGCGAAGAGATTTGAATTTTTTGTCATAAATATTTTACGTATATCGCAACAATTAGTTAATTAAAAAGTTTTAAATATTCACGAACTCCTGAAAAAAAAGACAAAATAACTCCAAACAAATTAGTTACCAAGGCTTATTAAATAAATCAAATAAATTTGTTATCTTCCCGTATACTTTCACAAGACATGTTTAGAATTTAGACTATCAAACTCTTGCGGAATAACACCGCACATTACGGAATGATTCATTGAATTTGGTTAAAAACACAAACGAAAATAACGTTTGTGTGTGTGTGTGTTAAATCTTGACTGACAAATTTAGTAGGTAGTTTGGGTTTACGAAATGGAGAAAAGTAATCTTGAAAGGAATTGGAGAAATGTATGGTATGGGCTCTTGTATTCCTTCTCTTAGCAACGCAATGACGTCCTCCGTTATCTTCTCAAACTCGTCAGAGCACACAACTGTGTTCATTGTCAAAAAATGAAAAGGATACAACTTAGGCGTGAACGCTTTTGCACGTATCTACACAAACATTGAGAATTTGCGGGCTATAGATCAGTCATAATCCCACCATTCCCACCCACCCACGATTAAACAATCAAGCGTTACATACACCTATAGCTACTTCCACTAAGTTGTTTTGAATATCTTCCTCCCTCTCTTTAAATAACTCTTATGTTGGACAAGGAGTGGCAGACAGGGAGGCAATGTTTTACATATAGGTGTTGGAATTTTTAAGTATGATGAATCTTATATTGCTTGCTAATCGACTAAATGAAATATATATAAAAGGATGGATTCAATATCTTAAAATTTTAGGTTGAGATATGAGGTCGGATTCATTTGCTACGGTTGATGTAGTCTTAACCCATTGATGGTGGTTTCCACTTGAAAAGAGTAATCATAAAATATTATTAATTGTATAAATAATGTGTACAAAGAGGTCTCTATTTATACAGAATGAAAACCCTAATACTTGACCTAATACTTGATCTAATGCGCTTGGCCCAATACAATAAATACTAATAATAATAAAATAACAAATATTTACAACACTTCCCTTCAAGCTGAGGAATAGATATTTATCATTCTCAGCTTGCTAGTAAGTTCTTGAAATTTGTCTGAAGAAAGTCTCTTTGTCAATAGATCAGCTAATTGACGCCATGTATGGAGATATTTTAAAAAAGTATAATTAAAAAAATAAACCTCTTATATGAGGAGATATTTTAAAAAAATATAATATAAAAATTATTAATGAGTTACCGTTCTAAACTTAAATTTTTAGTTGAATTGATTATTTATAATATCTTATAGAGAGTACTTGTTCTATTTAGTATACCGCATTCCCCGTGTTTGAATATTGTTGGTCAATTTAATTTCAATTTAGGTGTCGATTTAGCTCGTTTATAGGGAGACAGAGAAAAGGCCAACTTAATTCAAACTAATAGAAATATGAGATTTTTGTCTCATAACGAATATACTATATCTGTACGGATTTGTGATTAATTTGCTCTGATCATTGGGCGGTTCAGAGTCGGAAAGTAGGCCACCATTTTTTGTTTCCCACCTTTGCTACCCAGGTCAAAAATGTCTGTTTAATTAGTTTCTATAGAATCATGTAATGCTGATTCATCATTATAATTATTGCTGTTATGTTCATTGATTTAAATATGATTTTTGTTGCTGGTAATTTAGCATATATTATCTTTCTTCTTGCGAGGGGCTTTTTCACCTTTTTACCCCTTATTAATTAATTAATAATCATTTTGCCCCTGATTCGAAACTATTTATCAATCTGCCCCTCTTTAGTCGACTACCTTGCATTTTTAATCGACTAAATGACCAAAACAGACAAAAAATGGCTGCTGGGAGATTTAGTTGACTAAATCTCCCTATTTAGTCGACTAAATCTTCATATTTTACAAAAAAAAAATAAGTCAGTATGATTTTAATCGATTAAGTAGAGAGATTTAGTCGATTAAATCTCCCAACAACCGTTTAGTCGATTAAAAATGCAAGGTAGTCGATTAAAGAGGGGCAGATTGGTAGATAGTTTCGAATCAGGGGCAAAATAGTTATTAATTAATTAATAAGGGGCAAAAGGGTGAAAAAGCCTCTTGCGAGGTCTTAAAGCTCTTTTGTATTGTGTAAAATAGTAGCCCCACTCAAAAAAAAATCATGATGGTAAGTAATGATGATAAACTTTCATAATGAATTCTGTTAGTTAAAGAGAAAATAATTAAATGATTTTTAAATATCTAAAATATAAATATAAATTTTTTTCGTTTAATGCTTAGTATTTTTGGGAATTATGAAGACATTACTTCTTGAATAAATAGTAGATAAAAAGCTGATTGTTGCTGTTGGGGGTTGGTTAATGAATGGTGGAAGTTGTAAATGAAAGAGGCGCCCCTTGGAATCATATGAGATGAGAAGTGGTCCACATACGATGGATTATGGCCGACTAGTCAAGTTATTATGATGATAGCAACATGAGAACCTAAGTGCTGACGTTAATTAACATCTCCACAGTGAAGGTGGCGGATGTTGCTGGCTTTGTGCCGAGAGAGCGTTGACCTTATTGTTTCTTCTGTGTGACCAAATTAAAAATGATTAAATGGGAATGTTTTGTGAAAATATACTTATTAAATTCGACGGTTATTGACCCGATTAAAGTACTAATATCTGAGTTATTGGTATCTATACTTTATGAATAATATTTCTCTCATTTAATATGAGAGAAAATTTTTTCCTACATTAACAAGAAATATAGAGTCCATAAGTTAAAGAAAAAAAAATTACAGACACGTCTTTTTATATCTTTATGATATGAAATAGTTATCTACAACTATTGGAGAAAACAACTTTTCATATTTTATACTTAAAAATCTTATATGTAGACTCCATAACAAAATCATTTTACATTAGTTTCTATAAGAAAGTTGCTAAATTTATTACATATCTTACACATCAAATTCTCCAAATTGTGTGCGGAAGTTATAAACCAATTTTGATTCAAGACACACTTATACTATGCAAACAATGTATAGTATGATCATCTTGACTAAACAAATCCTCATGTGGGAATTTGAAGTTTTTAAAATAAGTATTTTATTAAAAACTCACACCTAGATTTTCTACAATTCAAGACAAGACTACATATCAAAAAAATATTTTATTAAGGACTTCATTTTGAAAATGAAATTTGGAGTTTTTCTTTATATAAAAAAAAGAAAATTAAAAAAATAAAAGCATGAACACACTTGTTCTTTGGGATTGAAGTGATGCTTGTAAACTATGCGAAGAAAATGACAGCGTTGTAAAAGGATCAGACTAAAGAGGTCTTATTATGGTTGGAAACGATACTCAAAGCACTAAGATGGAGAGACTTGAGTTCAGAGCTTATGACCTTGTGGAGTAAAGAGAAAATGAGAATCAACGATTAATAAGGAAAATGTTGGAGCAATGGAATCGGCAATTACGAGTAAGGGTTTCATTTAATAAGATTTATGATTAATTAAAATGTTGTGAACAATTTTAATTTTTTTTTTAAATGCATAACCTAACGGATTTTTGTCACCCGATCGGATCATCAATTTTGATAAAATCCAATTGGTATTAACCAATTTTTATCGGATCCATTACATAATTGTTCTATCGCTAAGCTCGAACCGGTTAAATCACCAATTAATCAGATTTTGAGTCCGACGGTTCGAGCCGGATTTGATAAGAGCTTGCCACTTTTGAAATTTGAATAGGACTTGAATCCTGTACCGCAGAACCCGCAAGTCAAATATTTCTTTCTGGAACTTATATAAGACCGTCTCAATTTGAACATTTTTCTTCTGGACTTTTCCTATTTGTAGGTTCAGCCATTCAGGTTTTACTATTTTTTTTTATCTCTTGCATTCTCAACTCCTTAACCTTATTATTCCTTACTCGAATTCATCATCATTTTCTTTTCATTTAATAAAACGACGCCAAAGGTTTTAAAGATGAATTGGCTTCCCCAGCTTATTAAATTCAAGCCATTCCACACTAGCTCCTTTAACGTGAAGGAAAACTGCACAATAATAAAAAAAATGTATTTAAAAAAAAATTAAATTCAAACTTTTGATTTTAATATTTGTAAACACAAATTTTTTTAAAGTATATATTTACTTAAGGATATTTTTAAAATTATAAAACTCTTTGTTAAAATTAATGTCAGGTCAGGATGAAATTTTTATTTATTTAAAAAAAGAGTATTAAATTGTACAACTCTCAGAATTTAAAGTTAGTTATTAGATAAAACAAAACAATAGAGAGCAATCAGAGTTATTAGATATAAAATATAAACACGAGAAGGTTTGATATTATGTGGCAGTAAGATATTTGTTGATATTTTGTGGCACTAGGATATTTTATGCCATTCGATTCGCCTTGGAGGGACCACAAGGCTACAAAGACAGGAATGAGAAAGTGGGGTGCTGAATGCTGTAATTGGCGTATTTGAGTGGGGAGTAATAGTATTTACTTGGGCCTCTGACGAAGAAAGCACCGAGAAAATGAGGTGCCGAGTGCAACAACTCTCACCGCTTTCGTAATCAAACACGTTAGTTATATTGGCAAAGGATGAAATGTCAACGGTCCTCTCTTTTAGTCTTTACCCTTTTTCCCTCATAAATATAACCCACAACCTCAATTCCCCTTCCACACTCACATCAACAGAAACAGAAACACACACACTCACAAAAAATGAAACTAGTTTGGTCCCCAGAGAGAGCATCTAAAGCATACATCGACACAGTTCAATCCGTAAGTACTACTAATTATTAGATAAATTAAACCATTTTAGTTTTGTTACCTCTTCCCACATCCATTGATGGATCTCTCTTAACATTTTTTTTTTCTTTCCACACATGCAGTGCAAGATTTTCCATGAATCAGGTGTGGCGGAGATGGTTTCTGCCATGGCTGCAGGGTGGAACGCACAGCTCATAGTGGAGACATGGTCACAGGGTGGAGTGATCCCAACCAGCGTGGGTTTAGCCATAGCGAGCCACCACACGGGTGGAAGGCACGTGTGCATAGTCCCCGATGAACGGTCGAGATCAGAGTACGCAAAAAGCATGTGTGAGGCTGCAGGCATGTCGCCGGAAATCATGGTGGGGGAAGCAGAGGAAGTGATGGATGGTTTGGTTGGCATAGAATTCTTGGTGGTTGATTCTCGTCGGAAGGATTTTCCGAGAGTGTTGAGGCTTGCCAAGTTGAGCAGCAAGGGTGCCGTGCTGGTTTCAAAGAATGCTTGCTGTTCCTCTAAGACTGGTTCCAGTTTCATATGGAGGAGTGTCCTTGGTCAAGGATCGCGCCGTCTTGTTCGTTCGGTGTTTCTTCCGGTGGGGAAAGGCCTTCACATGGCACACTTGTCGGCCACCGTATGTAACAATTCTGTTTCACCACTCAAGGCTGGTAATGGTCATGGACATGGACATGCCAAGAGATGGATTAAGCATGTTGATCAACAATCAGGGGACGTGCACTTTATTAGAAGATGAATTCATATATATATATATATAGTTCCCTGCCAAACCTTTTTTTTTGTTTCCCCTTTTTTGTAAATTACGGTATGGATTGTAGTATTATATATCACCGACGGATCAAGATATTTTCATAGTACTCGGTGAGAAGGTCATGTTTTATTGAGTAACACTAAACATTTGGTTTATTTATTTATTTATTTTTTAAAAAGGATAAACCTTCATTGCTCCTCTTTTCTTTTTCTTTTCTTTTTCCATATTTGCAACAATCTATGATGCTTCTTTGTTTGCAATTGGTTTAATGGCTGATTTGTAAACTAGGCATCCACAAACCACTTTTGAGATCCTCCCAGTAGGCTGGGTGTTGGGATCTGCTTCTCGAATTCCCAAAAAACACAAAATATTGAGAATAGGCATAAGTCATAACGAAATCGACTATATCATGTTTGATAAATTAATCTCAAGTAACGAATAATGGTTAACTTAAAAAAGAAAAAAGAAAAAAGAAAAAAACAAATCAATGGAAAACAACATAATAGTCCTAACTATTTTTCCTTCTTCTAAATGGCTAAATGCTTCTTTTGAAAGCACTACCTTGCTTTAAAGACCTTTCTGCACTCCTATAGCAGCACTTCACAATTGCTCATTTGATTACATAAAGTAACTCTAATGTAACAGATGCTACAAGCAACATGCAACATAATATTAAAGCTCAAACTTAAAACTATCTATTCAACCAGAAGAATTAGAAAGTACAAGTAAAGTGCTCTTTCGATTTTCTTCTTTTGCTTTTCCGAGGGAAGTGGTGGGACATAAGATGTAGCATCAATGACAGCGTATTTTTTGCACTTAATTAAGCAAAGGAAAGCACCATTGCTGAGTAAAAGTCATTTTTCAAGAAAAAGTGTAAAACAAGAAAAGGAAAGCGTAAACAGAAATCTATGTCATCGAACAGCGATACTAAAATAATTTTAAGTTAGCTGATGTTCACCAACGCATCCTCAATGTTACTTAGCCCTGAGAAAAAAAAAAAATGTTACTCTTACAGCATACAATTACAGAACAGACATTTAGGACAAAAGGGGAAGAAGAAAACTTCTATATTCTAATGTTAGCAAAAGAAATCACAAGCTCCCCATCCTTTTTTTGTATGATTTTTCCCCTGCTCAGGACCAATGTCATTCGAGATCACTAAAAGACAAAGTAGATATTCAATGTAAGAGTAGAATCACAGTTGATGAGGTAAAAACAATGACTAGTCGAGATATGCACATGTAAGCATATATTTTTTGTGCTGAACAGAAATCACATGATTTCGTACCAACGCAGTCGTGAGGAAAGGTTAACCTAACAAACCATTTGCATAATTGTCACTTAGCCAGTATGAGTTTGTCACGTTAAAGCGCATGTCCACCTTGGCGTTAACTTCCAGTCAGCAGTTATTACTTATTACAAGCAATGCATATAAGGAACTACAATGAAATTCAGTCAATTACTTATCTTCACCAAACATAAAGTTCGATAAGAATATATTTGAACTCCACATTAAATTCAAAATGTTACCACAATGGAGAATCTTACCGTGCTGCAAATATAATTATTCGCATGTTAAAAGCCTCGTGATGAACAGGATGACGAAAAGTTAAACCACTTTTCGGTGGGTTTATTTTATCTTTCCCTCATGGACATATTTGATGTTGCCAATGGAAAAAAAAAATTAATTTAATATTTTTTAATAAAATAATTACGTATTTATTATAGTTTTAGAAATAATTACGAATTTATTGCACAATGTGACGCTCCTTTTGGGCGTCACTCATCAGGTGTTGACATGTGTCATTTTTTTTTTCAAAAAAAAAATCAATTTAATCATAAAACTTTTGAAGGCCATAACTTTTGACTAGGGTATCCAAATCAGGTAATTTTTTTTTGATTCTACATAACTTTTCGAGATCTACGCAATGACATCTCATTCGATATATTTTATTTCTCACAAACATAATTTAAATTTAAATCAGGTAATCCTTCTTCCTTAGAGATTTATAATATTTAATTATTTTCTTTATTAATATAGATTTTTCAAATTGATTTTTAAGTTTAAATCACAAATCAAATATTTATTTTGTTTTCCTTATTAATAATAACGGGAAAGTGTTACTTTTAATTTAAATCACAAACCAAATTTTTTATAATAAAAATAAAAAAAAATTATTTTTTTTAATTTAAATCACACATCAAATCTTGATTTATTTTTTATATTAAATCACAAATGCAGAACTCAGAGACTTCTGAGTTTAAAAATGTGACACGTGTCAACACTTGACACGTCACCAATCACGTCTAAATTGAGTTTCAATCAAGAGGCAATCACGCCTAATTTAGGTAATTTTATTTTTGAAAAATATTTATAAGCCATCATTAATTTCAGACCACGAATAATAACTCAGAAGCTTGTGGCATTAATCATTATTTTTCAAAAATAATATCTTTCCTCCTTAGAGATTTAGAATATTTATTTAATTATTTTCTTTATTTCTACAGATTTTTCAAATTGATTTTTTAGTTTAAATCACAAATCAAATCTTTATTTTGTTTTCCTTATTAATAATAATTTATTTTTATTTTTAATTTAAATCACAAACCAAATTTTTATTATTATAAAAAAAAAATTAAATCACAAATCAAAATTTTATTTACTTTTGTTTATTAAATCACAAATTCAGAACTCAGAGGTTTCTGGGTTTAACCGCTCTTATAATACCATTCTTGAAAATTAAAATTGTGTTTGTGAGAAATAAAATATGTCAAATAAGATGTCATTGCGTAGATTTTGAAAAGTTATGTGGAATCAAAACACGAATTACCTGATTTGGATACCCGAGTCAAAAGTTATGGCCTTCAAAAATTTTATGATTAAATTAATTTTTTTTTGAAAAAAAAAAATGACACATGTCAACACCTGATGAGTGACGCCTCATTTGGGGAGACGCTTCAATGGGGCGTCTCATGTGACACCCAAAAAGAACGTCACATTGTGCGATTGATCTTATTTTCACAACTATAATAAATACGTAATTATTTAATTAAAATGCATTATTTAAATTTTTTTGCCGTAGTCAATGATTTTTTTTCTTATCTCACTTCAATCGCTGTACTTGCACGTATTAACTTCAATTTAAATTTAATAATTATTTAATTAATCACAGTTGTATAGCACAAAAAAATTCCCATTACATTCATACTTAACTGGCCAATTCATATGATTAACAATATCTTAAAAACTATATTTTAATTATGGGAAATCATTATCTCCATCTACATGAGATAAAAACTTTTCCCTACACAAATTCGTTTTTCGTGCCAATTAATTTTTCTTTTCTTTTTTAATTTAAAATGTGGGACCCACATTTAACTTATCTCTACTTTTTTTCTCTCCTACTATCCTACAACATAAGAAAATATGCACCCTTTAATTATATGATACTTTATTTCCTAACACAGCATACACAGTCTCGAAAGAAATGCCCTGCACGACAATAGTGCAGGAGGGACCATTTTTATCGGAGAATCCCTCGTCGCGATATAGTATAGTAGAAGAGAATCCCTCAAAGAACACCTCTATACCGTCACGATATTCATCAACCGATTCAAACTATGGTGATCAAATCAAAAAATCAAAAATCGAAAAAAATCACAAATTTTAATTGGATTGAAACAATTTTCGGATTAGTTGATAAAAACTGATCCAATCCAAACCAATCCAATATATTAATTCACCTTTACCTACTTGAGTTTTTCCTCTATCATAACCCAAAATTTTTTAAATCAAAGACCCATTAACCCATCAGCTAAATCTACGAAAAAATTTAATCACCTTTCATCAACAAAATTTCATCTGTGTTGATCTTCATATCTCAATGCCCCAAAAAAAAAACAATATTATATTGTTTACTGATACTTTTATATTTCAAAAAATAATAATTTACCAGGTCAATATATACAAAAGACGTTATTTGCACAATAATCATGAAACATTTTAGTATTTTTAAAAAATCAAAAACCGATCTAATCCAAACCGAAAAAAATTGAATTGGATCAGATTGGATTTGAAAAAAATCCAAACCGAATGGATGATTAGATAATCAAACCGAAAAGATCATATCGGATTTGAAAAAAAATCCAAACCGAAAGGATTAGATCGGATGATTTTTGTTTCCAAAACCGATCCAATTCAGACCGCTAAACCCCCCACGATCAACCAGGCGCATGTACCGCAATAATATAAACTACTTATGTTATACAATCACGTCACAAAAAAAATTGTGGAAGTTTCGGAACCAAGCATGACCGTAGCGATATCAATGGAAAAATCCTTACTACCAATATACATAAGCCAGCCAAATCATCATTAGACCCATTGGGAAAGGGCAGAAAAACCTAAAAAGGAAGTGATAAAATGAAAGACAGCAAGACGCTGGAGTAAATGTGGCCCGACAACTTGGCAGGTTACTTTTGGCCTCGCCGTCGTTGATGATATGCATTCCTATCACTAGCATCTGTCTTTGCCCATTCATGTGAGGAAGAAGAGCCTACTTTGTCTCTAACTTCAGGCATTGTTCTCACGGAATGATTATGCTCTGTAGAAGGGAGCGCCCAACCACCCTGTCTGGCCTGCTCATCTGGTGCGCTAGTGCTAGCTCCTAAAACACCAAAGAGCAGAAATTGAAGATAAAAAATAACAATCAAAATATCCAAATAGCATTTATTACTTACTTCTTAAAGTTATTAGGATGATTTAATGAAGGATACTAAATGTTTCGTAACAAGTGCACTATGATAACTCATTTAACAAATATGACAATAAAGAATTTTCAAAACTTTTGGGACAAATATGTAAATGAAAGAATGTCATTCTCTATATAAATATTAAAGATGTCTAAATATTGGTAGAGATGAACCTACATAACCCTCAAGTAGGAGAATGGAAACTCACCAATACTACCAGTCCATCCAGGCAAATACTTTTGAGCCTTTCCTTTCCATGCTTCCTCAAAGCCAGCAAGTTCATCTACAGAATCACAACCCAAAACCTTCAGCAATATTGATCTACAAGGGTATGGAACTGCTATAGTGGACATCATATAATATATGAATATTAGAACTATAATATACCTTCATTTAGATTGTACAAGGTCTGCACAGTATCCACTTTACCATTTGAATTGAGTTTTCTTGAAAGGGAATTTCCCTATAAAGTATATCCGAATAAGTGAAACAAAAATAGTAAGGGATGGTTAAAACCACTTAAAAATGAATTCCTAGATACCAAGAAACTGAAGCAACTTCCTACAATATTGCTACCAAAGAGAACAATATATGAATACCTTGTTATGAAGGCCTCTAGAAACTATGTGGGCAGCTTGTCTCGTGGCACTATCGGCCTCTTTGCATTCTTCAAAGGTCACCTAACAGATTAAAGATGGCATCAGAAATGTTAATACAATGCAAATCCTGGATGCAGTCAAGCTGTTTATCAACATTAATACTCACTCCATCACTACCAGTCCTCCTTGTCCTTGACGAAGTATAATATGTTCCATTTGCACCACCATAGGTGACTGTTGAGCTGTGGAAGCAGAAGCTACGAGACTGAGGCAGAGGTCCAGTACCATTGAATCTGTTGTTCTCACTTTTATGCTGAAAATGTCTGATCCTCTTTCCTGCAACATGAACATTGAAAAACCAGCTTAAACAAAACTCAAGGTACCACTTCTGAGAGAGCAAAAGCACCTAGTGCTAAATGCAAAGGACACATTACCTTCAGGTTCATCATCTGGATGTTCAACCGAGGGTTCATTGTTTGACCTACCGTGCTTTCTCGGATTTTCTTTCTTCTCCTCCAGTGCATCCTCTTTTTCATCATCAGAGTTCAATTCCTCAATGATTGGCCCTCTTGGTTTTCTAGGTTCTGGAGCCTGATGCTCTTCATCATCAGAGTTCAATTCCTCAATGATTGGCCCTCTTGGTTTTCTAGGTTCTGGAGCCTGATGCTCAAGAAATCCAGATGGATGCACATCTGGGGTGAAGGGATTTCCACTTGGACCAAAGGGAGTAGACTGGAACATGGTTCCAAAAGGACGGGTGAAGAAGGGATCATCAAATGGGTCCCTTCCCCCAAAAAAGTTTGACAATAGACTCCTGGGAGGTCCAAAGCCTCCAGAACCAGCAAAAAGGTCACTAAAGTCAAAGAAAGGATCCCTGCCACCTCTGGGTCCCTGCATTCTGCTTCTTCGAGTGTAGTATTCCCTGCAGGTACAAAAACCAAATATTTGACCTCTCAATGCATGCAGGATAACTAACCCGTAAATAATAATGTACAAACAGCATAAAACTAACAGGAAATTTAAAAGCCCCCACAAGACGAAGTCCTTCATTATTAATCCCAGATCCCAGGATCAGTAATATGATGTACTACCAATACCATTCAAAATATAAATTACTAAAATAATTCCAATAGAAGTTTAAGGTGCATCCCTTCAACTATGATGTATTGGTGCTGGTGAATATAAAATATAAACTATCAGATTAAATCTACAGCTGTAGACTTTTGAGGAGTTTTCTATCTTATGTGCTTGATACTCCTCTTCCATCATTTATGATATAAAATTTGTAGATATGGCTAGGTTTGGACCTAAGATTAACATTTAAGAGACTCCCAAATCCCGAACTTTAGAATCTAAAGTAATTGGGAGATATTCGTAGGTTTGTTTAACTTCATTGGGTTTCTTATATTTCAGCTCCCAACAAAGGTTAATATTCAAGTGACAAGTTCTATGAAGTGTAGTTTTTTTTTTTTTCGTTAGCTATATCTTTTGAAATTGACTTGGTTCTTTGAGTTCTTATGTCCAATGTGATATATGCCATCATCGGCTATTTTTACAAATAGAAGCAAACAGTTATGCTGTTTCTGAATTACATAGCCGAGCAGTACGGAAATTGGAAAAACCAGAGTCCTAAACAAGATAGAAACATAGAGAGTAAAGAGAGCCCTATCATGAAAACTAAACCCTAAACCTTAATTTTAGTTTTAGACAGGGCATCCTTCAAACACTTACGACATTATCTTGATTTCCAAAGACGTTGAAAACACTGCAGTCAGTTACATGATTGCAGACTGAATGTTGTGGAATGATGGTTAAGCAGTGACAGTAGGGGGAAAAAAAGAAAAAAACCTTGGCGAAAGCTAAACAATCCACAGAACCCTGGCAAAAGGCTTCCAAGGCAAAATAGAATCAATCAACCAAACCGCAAGGCAATGAGTTGAGTTTAACACGAAAAGCGGTCAAATCTTAGCCGCAATCACAAACAAAAACTCTGATGAATATCATACATTGCTACACCCTCCTTCCTAGAATAATTATCCAATAAAGTTATGAATGCGGGAAAAAATCAGAAGAAAGCAAATAGAATATTGAAATACTACATGATCGCCACAAGTCAATTAATTCATTTATCCAATGGAACACGAACTTCGTAGATTAACCTAAATAAGCTAAAGAGAGGGAGTAAAAAATAATAAAAAATAATAAGGTCATGTTTCAAATTAGCACATTCTACTTTCAATTGTTTCAATTAATCAAATATATTTTCTGATGATAACAAATCAACATATATGTCAAAATTTTAACAGTAAGACAATTATAGCTCCTAAATAACGTTTCGTGTTCAACTACTTTTCTTCTTGTGCCCTGAAACATCAGGGTTTGTTACGGCGTGCTTTTTTTGTCTGCAGCAGCGGTTTACCGGTTTGTGCACTTACTCCTTAGGATTTAATTGAAACAATTGAAAGCATAAGGTACTAATTTAAAACATGACCAAAGTTCAAGGTAATGTATTTTAGCAACAACAAAAAAAAAAAACTGTGATAGCGTAACTGGATGAAAAAACAAATGAAAACTAAATTTGAAGAGAGAATACCAGGCAAGCGAAGAAAGTAAGGAATTGAAGGATACGAAAGACGATCTCCAAATCCTGATCGCGTCCGAAACGTTTTGTTGGAAAGAAGTGGTTATTCTTATTATGAATGTAACAGAAAGGGAATGAGGGGGGCACAATTGCCAGGGAAAAAAGAGAAATTCCCTTCAATAATTCCCTCTGTCAGGATATGGCAGGTTCTAATAGCAGAACCAAATGATCTCCACGCGTTGGACCCGGGTTTCATCCGTGTGCCCAAAACTAATAATATCCGTTATCCAATTCAAAGATTAAACCAAATCAATTAATAAATTTAAATGAGAAAGATAAGTACATACGGAGGGTATTCGCGATTTGGATTGGATCGATTTTGAAAGTAAAAGTTATCTGATCCAATCATTCAGTTTGATCATGTAATCATCCATCAGTTTTGATTTTTTTAAATTCGGTCTGATCCGATCCAATTTTTTTCGATTTGGATTGGATTGGATTGGATTGATTTTCAGCTTTTTGAAAATCATAAAATTTATTTCGTGATTATTATGCAAATAACATATTTTGTATATATTGACTTTGTAAATTTATTTATTTTTGAAATACAAAAAACATCAGTAAACGATAATATAGTTTTTTTTTTTGACAATGAGATATGAAGCTCTACATAGATGAAATTTTGTTGATGAGATGTGATTAGGATTTTTCTAGAGTTTAGTTGATGGGTTAATATGTCTTGGGTTTAGAAATTTTTGGGCTATAATTGGGGAAAGACCCAAGTAGGTAGAGGAAAATTATTATATTGGATCAGTTTCAATTGGATTGGTTTTCATCAACCAATCCAAAAACCGATCCAATCCAATTAAAATTTGTAATTTTTTTCGGTTTTCAATTTTTCAATTTTCGGTTAATTCGGTTATCAATTTTTTGGTTCGGTCACCGCGGTTTTTGAATCGATTTGGATCGGTTGATGAACACCCCTATACATATCTTACTGAAAAAAATAAAGGTGTGAATTTTATCTTTTTATATTTATTTCTTTCTTAAAATGACCTAAATTTGTATCCATTAAGGGCCTGTTTGGTGCACCTGATAAAAGGGACAGATAGGATAGACTATCCTATCATATCCTTATTTATTGTTTGGTGAATCAGTAGGATACGATAGACTTATCCTTTTGGCTTCTCTTTTCCTATTGATAGGCTGATATATAATCCTAAAAGGGGGCTTGGGTTAAGAGGGGATAGGATAGGATAATAAAAATTATTTTTTATTTTCCCAACTAACCCTCCCCATACATGAACCCAGCACCCCAATATCTACTCCGACGGCGTACCCGCCATATGGTCCGCCAGAACAGTGCCACCATGGTCATGGATTTGGAGGTTCTGATGCTTCTTCTGCATCGTAGTGATTATTGGATTCTTCGTCACAAACCTTGTGATGTTGAAACCCAGATTCTGAAAAGAAAAAAAAATTAACGAACTCTAATTTATCTTCGAAACCTTGGGCTTTACTTGTCCTTTTTCACCATTCGGGTATTTTGATTATCACTTGGTGTTTCACCATCTCTGTCATTGTTTGTGGTTCCAATTATCTTTTTTGATTTTTTAATTACCTATTTAATAATAAAAAAGGATACACACTTTTTCCATAAAAGGTTACTCCTATTAACTATGATTATAATTTTATATACAATAGATTGCTAATCAAATAATATACAACAGACATTATTAACAAAATTATCAAGATACTTTTCCCATATCAACTCCCTTGCCTTCATTCAACTGAAAATATTAAGAATTAAATAATGTTTTTAAAAAAAGGACGGTTATACTTAGCACCAATTTAGGCTTTTAAAAATTCAACTTTGGCCTAAATCTACTGTAATCACTTCATGCCACTATCACTACTATCATCACATATTTGTTAATAATTCTATGGGGGAAACTTTTGTTATTTAAAATAACACAACTTTGTGTTATTTTAAGTAACAATATTATATTTTGAATATACACAAAATTACAGTAATTTCATTTAAAATAACACAAAGTTTTATCTTTTAAGGTGACAAATATTTCCCCTAATTTTATATATAAAAAGTATTTTTATGTATTTCATTTATATATAAAATTAACAAGCTGGCAAGCTCAGTGTTTATGACAAACTGGGAGAGTTACCCTTTCCCAAACAATGATTTCCTCTATCCCGTATTATTAGATGCAAAGCACGATGATCCCACAAGCAGTATTAAAAGAAATCGAAAGTCTTCAGAGAATGTTTATATGGGGGATAAGGTTGACAAAAGACATATTCATCATAATGTTGTTGTTAAGATCGAGATCTTACCTAAGATCGGGAAGAGGTAAAAAAAATCGTAAAATCGACAATAACAAGTTTTCCTATTCCGATTGCGAGCCTTTCTCTCCCCTCTGTGACGTTAGGCTAATGAATAGTGCCCTCACAAGGGTTACCATAAAATTTGACAATTTTTAACAACGAGTTTAGGGTTCATCCACTTAGTTACCAAATAAGAACTTATAACCAACAACAAATCCTAACATATATACATGTTTCCACTTCATGAAACATTCACCAAGGAAACCCAAACTCAAACCATGAGAATCAACCATTCATAGTAGGGTTTCTTACCTTAAATCAACTCTAACACCTCCAAATGTTCTTCTCCAAGCTTTAACCCATGAAAATCTACATTTTCCCTCTCCTCAGGAATAGTGGCAGCGCCCCTTAGAGAGAAGAGCTCTCCAAACAAAGCCTCCTAAGGTGAAACAAGTGTTGGGTTTTGCTAAGGAAGTCTTAAGCTTAATTTTCTGTGAAGAAACCTAAGGCTAAAGGTGAGTAACCAAGGAATTACAATTTTTGCACTCTTGGGTATATAAAAGTCCACATGTTGACTATTGACTTTTCTTTTATGGAATTTATTACTTTGTCCTTCTAATTAATTTACTTTCTAACCAAGTGTCTTAACTTAATCCAATATTACAATGTTATTTTCATATCACTAAATTCTCCAAAGAATATTAATATACCATCATAATTAAGTTGAGACCAAGTTCGGTCCCTCAATTTTACCAAAATCGTAATTTGACCCAAATAACTCTCATAATTATATTCTTGGTCCTAATTGACTTGTTTGGCATGCATTGGACTTCCATTCGTAAAGATCTCATTTTTTGAGTTTTCGGTAAAATTTGTACAATAGCATTTTTACCCGATAAATTCCACTATCCACATTTTTTCTCAAAAAGTGCCTAAAATCTCAAAAGGGGAAGGATCCGTTTACAATTTTTTTTATAAATTACACTAAGTCTGACCAGTCATACACTCTTGATTGAAGTATGACCGATCAGACGTAGTATAGTTTGTAAGAGTTTGTAAATATAACCTTCCCTATCTTAAAATTATTATTTTGACCCAACTTCATCATTATTATCACCAACATAATCCTTAATTATTCATTTCACTGGTTAGGGTTATTATAGCCATCAAGGAAGAAGATTTTAATTGTTCAGTTAACCATCCTGACAAAAATATTAAGATAGAGAAAAAAAGTTAAGTATTTACCCATTATTTGTGTATTTATAATTTTCTACCACATGTTATTTTTATATTCTATATCATTAATACAGTATAGTGACCCCAATTTTTTTTTAAATTAGTTCTATTGCTGAAGTCGGAGACACCTTGCTGGAGAAAAGGAAGTTGTGTGGACAAAGGTGCTGGGGAAGAAGTTATGTAGCAGCAACATTGTTCTAGGTGTTGTTGAACTATATATTTGAGAATTATTAGACAGTTAGAAAATATACAATGTCTTAATATTTGTTTAACGTTTGATTGAACAATTGTGGATGATTGTCTAATGTTTAACACGAGGTTAAATATTAATTATTTGATGTTTTGATATTTAATATATGGGTTTGATGTTTGTCATTTTAAATGACATAAGTTATGTCATTTTATGAGAGAGATAAACACAAAAAATGAAAATCATGGGAGAGAGAAAGTGGGTGATTTTTTTTAATTTAAATTTTAAATAAAAAAATTTATTTTGTGTCTATCTTTTTCTTAAAATGACATAATTTTGTGTCATTTAAAATGACAAACATTTTTCCCTTAATATAATCTAATTTTTTTTTGTTTTGTTTTTCTTCTTCGTCTTCTGAAGTTAGTCTTCTGCCATAATTAATATACAATAATTCGCTTATTACTTGAAATTTGAAAATATTTATTCTTTTGTTTGATTACGAAAAATAAAGTTTACTAAAATACATTTATGATAAACTATCTTCAACTAAAAAATGAAGAGACACATTGTCCATTGTAAAACTATATTTGCCATTAAAATTTTTATTATTCATGTGTCTACACTTCAATCGACTTCTTTTTATTTATATGTATCAGGAAACTTTTTTTTTTTTATAAACTACACGTTAGACTCTTAATCCTGATTATTTTTTGAAACCTTCTGATATTCCTTTTTTTTTTCTTCTTTTTGAACCTTCTTTTTATGGCTGATTCTTCATCAGCTGCAAAGCGGGGAGCGATTGAGAAACAAAGACAGAGATGCCTTGAAACCTCTTCCAAAGAATTTATTAGTGCAGATCTTTTGAGTTACTAATATAACATTCTTAGAATCTATTATAGACATCATTCAATATTAAGTTGCAAATCTCTTATCTATTTTATCTTTTAATTATTTCTTTAATAATTGTGTCCTAGAAAATTTTATTTATAAAATTTATTTAAAATTTACGTTAACTTTTATAAGAAAAACAAACTGACTTCTTCTTTCTCCGTGCATCACACAGGTGATAAACTAGTGTGTGTGTGTCTATATATATATATAAGGACAATGATCATTTGACATCGGTGTCAAGCAAAAAAGTTTGATACCAAATCTCAACCGTTGATTTCTGTCAATTAACGGTTATAACCGTTAGATTAAAGTGTGATCCAATAAATTATAACCGTTAGATTAAAAAAATTAATTGTTCTGATTTGTTGTCAAACTTTTTATTTTGAATGTTGCCATATATATATATATATATATATATATATATATATATATATATATATATATATATATATATGGGATTATATGAGTGTAAAGTAACTGGATATAAGCTTTTGTCCAGTTACTAAATCATAACCATATAAATGTAGGCCAATAGTTATAAAGGAAGAGAGAGAAAGAGAATCATAACCATACAAAGAGAAATCAATTAATATAAGGAAATAAATAAACAAAACAACGTAGTTTAATCATGACTTAAGTATCCACATTTCTGCAGCCGCTTTACGTACAACAACGACAGGTGTATGGTTATGATTCCCCATATTTAATGTTTTCATCCTTTGTATGGTTATGATTCCTCGTATTTAATGTTTCCAAGTATATATATGACAAGTATTTGATTGCTGTACGTACAACAACTGCAGAAATATAAACCCTATATATATATATATATATATATATATATATATATATATATATATATATATAGGGCTTATCGTTTCTCAAATTGCCGGAGATAATTTTATCTCCGGCTAATAAATCATAACCGTATAAAGATGGATCAACGGTAATGAAGGAAGAGAGAGAAAAAGAGAATCATAACCATTCAAAGGTGAATCAATTAATATAAGAAAATAAATAAACAAAATGACGTAGTTTTAGGGTGGCCGGAGATAAACTTATCTCAAGTTGCCAAAAAAATATTTTTCCATATATATATATATATATATATATATATATCTATATATATATATATCTATATATATATATATGTATGTATGGGTTAAGGTCAACTTATACCGTAAAAGAATAACAAGCTTACACCAAATATTAATTGCATTTAACGGTTAAGATTTATTAACTGATATTAATATATATTATTATTATTGTTTTAATAAACATTTGTATGTGATAATAATCACATTTTATTTCATAAAAAAGTAACTTTTTTTAATTATTCTTTAGTTTTCTAAGCCTACAAGCCAATGTTGTCAAACTCGAGTTTCTGCGTAGAAACAGAAAGGGGTGGTAGAAACGTAAAACGTAAAAACGACACGAAACGTAAAGTTTCTACTTTCTACTATTTAAGGTCAAAATACAAAATTATATATATATACATGTAAAAAAAATATCACATAATGAACATGTGTGTTGAGCCAATTATCTATCTAAAAAGAATTTTTTTTTATAACCAAGTATCAAAATTATAAACAGTGACAAGTAACAAGTAATGGATAACAAATCTGCTCTAACTGCTTCATACACTCTGGAGATTTTGGATCATCACTCATCAGGATATAATTCCACTTCTTTCAATGCACACAATGATCCAAAAATACAAAACGATTCTTATAGCATAACTTATAATAGAATTGCAGCTTTATAAAACATAATTACAAAAGACATATATCCAAACAAAAAGATATCAAGATATTGTGCTGGTGCATATGATTTGGGAGAAACAAAAATTGGGTTTTTTTTAATATCCTTTTTTGTAAATCTTTTTTTAAAAAAAATTCATTTTAAGTAAAAACGGTAAAAACGTAAGTTTTTACATTTTTACACGACGTTTTTACCAGTTTTTACCAATGACACTTTTTACTTACGTTTTAACACGCACCACTCTAGTAAAAACGTAAAAAAGCAAGTTTTTACATTTTTTATACTAGTTTTTGACAACAATATTACAAGCAACATAAAGCATAAATTCAGCAACTTCCGGTCTAGAAGGTTAGGACGTCGTCATCCAACGGTTCACTCCGCTTCTAGAAAGGAAACTTTACGCTCCGACCCGACCACTGCCCAATTGGAGCTGTTTCTATTCAATCTCTGGAATTTGGACTGTTCAACACGTCACGAATTTCTTTTTAAATTTAATTAAACAATAAATTCATTCATCACCATTAACAATAATTTTCGCTTTCAAACCAAATCATTAATTAAAAAAAAAAAAACGATTTGGTTTATCTTTAAAATTAAACCTCCTTCCTTCTTTTGTTCTGGTGTTGGTGTTCCTTTATACGCTTCTTTTCTTCGTGATCAATTAACGATCCGTGACTGTGCTCGTCGTCTCTAAAGCGATCAATCAAGCGTGAGAGGGCAGCACAGCATGTCTATGTCGGATTCTGATTCCTCCTCTTATGGCGGTGGTGACTACAAAAATTTCAAACAAATTACCCGCGAGCGTAAGTCCCTTTCCCCTTTATTAATCTATCTTTTCTTCTTCTTCTTCCTGAATTCGTGTTAATTCTATTCCTGATCCATTTCGCTTAGCGCTGTCGACTCACTCTCTCAATGACTCTTGTAACTTCTTCTCTTTCTTTATTGGTTCTTCATTTCTGCTTTTGTAGTTACACTTGCAACCCAAACTAATTATCATTGTATAAGTCAGTAGTGATTGCTCATGGTTTCCAACTTACGCCATTCCTTCATTTTGTTTAATCTTAATCTCAGTGTCAGAGTTTATCTTTGGCGCGTGATTTTTATTTTTGATTTCTATTTTGGACTTCTATCAGCTAAATGACAAACACGTTAAAGCAACCAAGCTAGTGCATTCAAAATCTGCACGAGTATGTCCATTGAGTTTGGACTATGATTTTTGGCCATTCCTTGGTGCTTATGGTTGGAGAGGAGTGATAGAGTTTTGAGGATGATTTTTTTTCTTTTTTTTTTCTCATTGCCTCTTCTGGTTCACCTAGTGTTCCTAGGCTCCTTAGGATACTCAGCTCATGGTGATTTCAGGGGGGTATTTATTGCAGACAATATCTAGAAAAGTTGAAGGACTTACATATGATGTTTATTGATTTTGAAAAGGCGTACAATAGGGTTCTAAGAACAAGAAAAGTTATATGATGGGTTCTTAAGAATAAAAAAGTACCATCAAAGTATGTGGAGGCAGTCAAGGATATGTATGATGGTGTTACTATATGTGTGAAGGCTTGTAATGGAAATTCAAGTTATTTTCCTATCATAATCGGTTTACACCAAGGTTCTTCTAAGTCCTTATCTTTTTGCCCTAGTTATAGATGAATTAACAAAAGATATTCAAAACGAGGTGCCATGGTGTATATTATTTGTTGATGATATTGCGCTTATTGACAAGACCAAGGCTTGTGTTAACAAAAAAAATTAGAATTATGAAGAAGCACATTGGAGTTTAAAGGATTTACGTTAAGTCGGAGTAAGATTGAGTATATGAAGTGTGAGTTTGTTCGATAAGAGATAGAGATCAAGATCCCGTGAATATGCTAAGACAAGAGGTACACGAGAAAGATGCTTTTAGATACTTGGATCAACATTGTAAAAAGGGGGAGAGATTGATGAGGATGTGAACCATATAATTAGAGCAAGTTGGGTGAGGATGAGGATGGGATCGCAAAATTCCTTTAAGGCTAAAAGGAAAATTTTATAAAACAACAATAAGGCCTGCAATGTCATACGAAGCTAAATTTTGGCTAGCATATAGGCAATATGAGCATAAAATGAAAGTAACAGGAATGAGGATGTTAAGGTGAATGTATGGTCATATAAAGATGAATAAGATAAGAAATGAAGATATTCGACAAAAGGCGGGTGTTGTACCGATTGTTGAAAAGATGAGAGAACATAAATTGAAATGGTTTGGGCATATTGTTCAAAGTCCCCTAGATGTTCCTGTAAGAACAAAAGTTTGTTACCAAGAACATGACATAGAGAGGAAGAAGTCAACTGAAACTTAACTCGGGGGAAAGTAGTAAAACAAGGCTTAGTGAGCTGGGAACTTGATTGGAGGATAGTGTATCTTAGGATGGAGTGAAAACCCCTTTTCTTCTATGTTCCAAACGATCATTTTAAGTCTTGTTCCCTATATTCATTTATTTAGTTATTATTTATTTTTCTTTTTAATTTACTTATTCGTTCTTATTTGGTTATTTTTCTTCTTATATAATTTTCTCTCATATTTTTTATTTACTATTATTATTATTATTTACTTATTTATTTTTCTCTTTTTTCTAAATTGGTTTGGGATAAAAGGGTTTGTTGATGTTGATGTTATTGATTAGAGAGATTGGCAAACTTCGCTTAGTTTATGTGTCTTTTTGGGTGTGTGTGCATTTTATTTTTATTTCCAATTTTTTTTTCTTTAGTAGGTAATCTCATCCTCTGCAGCTCTGCTCTTGTACTTCACTTTTTTTCTTCTTGTATTTGGTCTTTTGTCCACGTAAAGAGAAAGAAAAGAAGAGGGAAAATTGCATGATGGATGAAATCACTCCAAATCATTGCAGAGTTCTTTAAAGTGTTGACTGATTTATTTATTACCGTACATTGTCATATGAATTTCTTTACAATTAGTATTTTAGTATCATAAAGGGGACGAACCGGAGCAGTGGTAAAACTGTTCTTTCACGACCAAAAAGTCATGGGTTCGAATGTAGGAAACAGCCTCTTTGCAATTATGCAAGGGTAAGGCTGCGTACAAGGATTACCTCCACCTCACACTCGCTAGTCGGGTTTAACATGGAGTGGCTTAGTATTTTAGTATTATCACCAAATTCAATGAGGCACAGTTTTGTCCTTTTGCATTAGTGGATAGACTGATGCAAACCAATATTGAAATATTGAAGTGTTTATTTTTTGAAAGATGCTATTTTGTCAACCTTTTGTTAGTATTGCATCTTTTTGGTTTTCTTTTATACCTTTTAAGATTATAATAGTGAATTGCATATTGCTTTCTGATCCGATAAACTCATTCAATTTCTGTGTGCTGATATTGTCTCCAGGGTTATTACATGAAATGTTAGCAAAAACAGGGGATTCCAAACTAAGGTCAGCAAAAACAGGGGATTCCAAATCAACTTGGAAGGTATATGATTTGCTTTAGCGAATTCTGCTGCGATTCATTTAGATTTAGGCTGGATACAGGAGGACTCACCCTTCTGTCTGTTTTATCTAAAGTTTGTATTTCACAGTCAATTATATAATTCACATGTGTCTAAAGTTCTTACTTTATTCATTGGACCAATATCTATCTGCGCATCACAGGCTTTAGTTTGAATGGGATAGTCATGACTTTTTTTATCAGTTGCCTCTAGATATCTATACTAGTATGCAATATGGACTAGTTTCTATGCAGTTAATGCAGGTATATGTATGCATGTTGGCATACATGCAGCAGAGTGTAAACATGTTTTACATCTGAGTGAAGTGTTGAGGGTGAATTAAAGGAACTAAGTATAAAGTAAAAATTGAATTTGTTGATTACCATCTTAAATTCGTTCATGGCTTGCTTGCCTGTAGGTACTAATAATGGACAAACTTACTGTAAAGATAATGTCTCACTCATGCAAGATGGCTGATATCACTGGTGAAGGTGTTTCTTGTAAGAATCACAACGTTGAACTTTAAGCAGTTATTTTTTCTTTCTACCCATAACTAATAATTTTTTCCCCATAATTTTCTATTTTGGCGTGCCATGCTGTTTTAAAAGTAAAATGACAAGTTTTTAAAGTGAAAGTAAAGCTATTCTCTCTCATAAGCCCAAATTGGGGTGATAAAAAAGTGGGAGTTTAAGGAAGAATGGTTTGCCTTGCGTTCCCTCCCCCTTCATAAATTTTAAACTTCTGCCTAAAGGGAATTAATCCCTTCCCATCTCCCTCATTACCCCTCTTCCAAACAGACTCTAAGAGTGTGTTTGGCTGCCTCTATTCTCTTCTGGAATTAACTATTAACTATTATTAAGAGTTTGATGTTAGCCTTGTTCCTTTAGAATTGGAATTAAAACTTTGATTGTTTTCATACTTGTTAAACTTCAAGTGCTGTGCTTTATCATATTTCCTTGTTAAGTTAGAATTTTTAGTATACTCTTGTTCAATTAAAAGAAACACTTTTAGTCACAATTTAGAATTGTAAATCTTATTGATTTATTTTAATGTACTGGGTATTGCTTTTTGTAGATCTATATGAGTAATATATCATGTCATAAACAAATCTATTCCAGCACTTTTCTTAATAATCAATGCTAGATGGGAATACCTCTTTCTAATGACAAATCAACAGCCAACATCACATTTGCAATCAAAATAACTTTTCCTTTGTTTCGTTTTATGAGCACAATAATTAACAATTATAGATTATGTAGCCCTAACATGATGCTAACCATTGATTTATCATCAAGAATTATGGATGACCGAGCTCTTCTCACATAAAGTGGTTATGTTAAAATGAGACACGAGAGAATCTATGCTCATATTAGAGATGTAATACAAAACTATTTATATGTCTTCACATAACAGTTTAAGCTTTTAGAATAGTTAGTTCATTGGTTGTAAAACCATATGAATATTGCTTCAAATACTATTACGATAGAAGAAAATTTAGGAAACATTTGTTGTAGATTTTTCACAATTAGTTTTATTTCTTGTATTGAGGGTGAAACTGTGCGCAATGTAAAGTTGCTGCCTTGTGAGCTGGTTTTCATGGGTTCTAGTCACGGAAATAGCCTCCCCAAAACCTCACAAAGGTGGAGCCTCATCCATTGATACGAACCCACTTTGGTTTAGGCCTCCCATGCAATAACTGACCCAATTGGCAATGCTGTTAACATGTGGAGATACTGACTGAAATGCCCTCCAACATAATAGAGCATGAGTGTCATGGAGTTTGTTATATAGAGGGGAGGTAGTAAGGAAAGGGGATACCGGGAAATTAGAAGCATCTTGGGCCCTTTTGGGATTGGGAGAGAGTGGAACCTCTCATATGTGTTCCACACTATCTTTACTATTTTGCATTGTTATTTTCTTTTGGGAATTTTGTATTGTTCTTCTTATTAAACCTTTTCTGTAATGGATGTTCTGTATGTAATGTTGGTTGAGAAATATATGAACGAGGAAGATTCAGATTTATTTCCTTGAGTAATTTCTGTTTTAATTTGTATTCTGAGTTGGTCCTTATCAATTGGTATCGGAGCTCCGATCTTGGAGCTCTGTGGGATGGTTACTATAAGAAGAATGGAGAATCGATTGGAGAATTTAGTAGAGGAGCTGCGCAGGGACGAAGCATGACACGAGGAAGTTAATGATGCTCGACACGAAGAAGTTCTATTAAATATGGACGCTAACAAAAGAGGAATAGCAGGAATCATTCGGTGATTGGAAAAAATGGTCAGGAGGAGACCGAGTCGTTCCAGAGGTGGGGAGAACAACCTCGAGGATGACGAATCAGATCCAAGCAAGGAAGGAAATCGAAGAAGGGACAAGAGGCTTAACTCGAGTGCTTGGGTGACCAGACGGAACCCACCGGAGCTGCTGGACAACCCTTACCGGACATTGTACACAGTAAAACAAAGAGGGAGCATTGCGGAGTTTCGTGCGGAGTTTGAGAAGAAGGTGGGTGATTTGTGGTTAGACGATGAAGATTTACTCATGGACGCATGGCTGAACGGCGTATGCAAAAGCATCAGGGAGGAACTATTGAGGTTACCGATCTTCAGCTTGCCGGAGATGAAGAAGCTCTCCTTGAAGATCGAAAGACCAAACGCTGCAGAGAGGGATGAAGGATCTAGACCGGTTGGGAGAGGCATCGCGTGGGTGGAAGAGGGGTTAGGGCCACTGGGTAAGACTTGGATCCATGGTTCTAAGCGTGCGAATTTGGGCCAACGAATTGCCACAGGCCCAACTGAGGCCAGAAAAAGCAGTCCGTCGTTTTTGGGCCCAAATGGTTCATTAAACCAGAGTCAGCCCACCATCAACCAGCATTCCAACGTGAATTGCCCTAATACCCTAAATGATCTAACAGAGAACGCTAAGGGAGAGCCATCGTCGAAAGGCTCAACATTCGTCGCCGACAACCGCTCGTCGGAAAGCCACGTGACCCAGGGACAACGGCTGTCTCAAGCTGAGCTCCGTCATCGACAGCCATGTGGGCTGTGTTTCAAGTTCGATGAGTGCTGGAAGCCCAACCACAGATGCCAGGTCCGTCAACGGCATCCTTTGGTGGTGGACATGGACGACGAGGAAGAAGAAGAGGGGAAGATCGAAGGAGAAGGGGTGACTTTGGGGCCTGAAACGAACGCGGCTGAAAAGGCTCTACAACTTTCTTTGCATAGTCGGTTGGGACTTACTTCAAATCTGGATCAGCGTGCAAATTCAGATCCAGCAGAAACCAAAGGGTGGGTCACAACAAATTTAGGCCAGGACAACTTAAACCATATGAGCCCATTTAATCCTTCAACAGCAATCTCTAATACCACAAACGAAGGGCAAACCAGTTCGCGTGTTACTCCACCAGAAAACCCTAAGGAAGGGTCATCAGCGAAGGCATCTGCGTATGTCGCCAGCAACTGCTCGACGGAGAGCCTCTCCGGCCAGGGGCGACGACGTTCCCAAGCCGAGTTCCATGATCGACAGCAACGTGGGTTGTGTTCCAAGTGCGAAGAGCATTGGAGCCCCAATCACAGATGTCAGCTCCCTATGCAACGTGTGGACGACTATGACGACAAGGAAGAGGGAGAGAGAAACGATGACAGAGCAGCAGTGGCAGCTTTATCAAGCGTTGGAGATGTTGGCCAAAATCCTCCGATGGTGGAGGTTGTCAATAAACAAGTCCTTCCCGCCAACATTTCTGAGTTTATCTCCTCCTATCATTCTGCGACGGTGGATATCAGAATCAAGGAACCCATTAGCTTGCTTTCAAACCGCCTGGGATCATGGATGAGTCAGAAAGGAGAACGACGGAACGTGGGGGCCTTGGGGCTGTCTTGAAGCATGGCGAGAGTTAGGCAACTCTAAGGTAATCAACGTAGTTAATAGTTTTCACATAGTTAACGACGATAAACAGGGAATTTTATGGGATGCAAATTCTGATTTTTTTTGGGACTGGATGGAACCCAAGAACAACCTGTGCCTAGCTATGTAAAACAATGGAAAGGTATATTTGGAAAAGAGCATTTTTCCACTGTCATTAATGATTTTGATCAACATGATAAGGCTGTTGTGTCTACTAATGAAAATCTTATAATTAGAGCTCATATTACTTGCTTTATGAAAACAAAGGCAGAGACACTCAGTTGCAAATTTGTAGTTAAGGGTTCAAGGGCAGTAATAAAATGGGATCCGGGTGGGAGTTATCATGCTTCAAGCATATCTGGGTCCCAACAATTCAGGCAATGGGATACCGGAAAAAAAAATAAAAATTAACATCACCTTGAGGACAAGGTGATTGTTAGGGGGGGAGTATTGATACGAACCCACTTTGGTTTGGGCCTCACATGCAATAACTGACCCAATTGGCAATGCTGTTAACATGTGGAGATACTGACTGAAATGCCCTCCAACATAATAGAGCATGAGTGTCATGGAGTTTGTTATATAGAGGGGAGGTAGTAAGGAAAGGGGATACCGGGAAATTAGAAGCATCTTGGGCCCTTTTGGGATTGGGAGAGAGTGGAACCTCTCATATGTGTTCCACACTATCTTTACTATTTTGCATTGTTATTTTCTTTTGGGAATTCTGTATTGTTCTTCTTATTAAACCTTTTCTGTAATGGATGTTCTGTATGTAATGTTGGTTGAGAAATATATGAACGAGGAAGATTCAGATTTATTTCCTTGAGTAATTTCTGTTTTAATTTGTATTCTGAGTTGGTCCTTATCAATTGGTATCAGAGCTCCGATCTTGGAGCTCTGTGGGATGGTTACTATAAGAAGAATGGAGAATCGATTGGAGAATTTAGAAGAGGAGCTGCGCAGGGACGAAGCATGACACGAGGAAGTTAATGATGCTCGACACGAAGAAGTTCTATTAAATATGGACGCTAACAAAAGAGGAATAGCAGGAATCATTCGGTGATTGGACAAAATGGTCAGGAGGAGACCGAGTCGTTCCAGAGGTGGGGAGAACAACCTCGAGGATGACGAATCAAACCCAAGCAAGGAAGGAAATCGAAGAAGGGACAAGAGGCTTAACTCGAGTGCTTGGGTGACCAGACGGAACTCACCGGAGCTGCTGGACAACCCTTACCGGACATTGTACACAGTAAAACAGAGAGGGAGCATTGCGGAGTTTCGTGCGGAGTTTGAGAAGAAGGTGGGTGATTTGTGGTTAGACGATGAAGATTTACTCATGGACGCATGGCTGAACGGCGTATGCAAAAGCATCAGGGAGGAACTGTTGAGGTTACCGATCTTTAGCTTGCCGGAGATGAAGAAGCTCTCCTTGAAGATCGAAAGACAAAACGCAGCAGAGAGGGATGAAGGATCTGGACCGGTTGGGAGAGGCATCGCGTGGGTTGAAGAGGGGTTAGGGCCACTGGGTAAGGCTTGGATCCATGGTTCTAAGCGTGCGAATTTGGGCCAACGAATTGCCACAGGCCCAACTGAGGCCAGAAAAAGCAGTCCGTCGTTTTTGGGCCCAAATGGTTCATTAAACCAGAGTCAGCCCACCATCAACTAGCATTCCAACGTGAATTGCCCTAATACCCTAAATGATCTAACAGAGAACGCTAAGGGAGAGCCATCGTCGAAAGGCTCAACATCCGTCGCCGGCAACCGCTCGTCGGAAAGCCACGTGACCCAGGGACAACGGCTGTCTCAAGCTGAGCTCCGTCATCGACAGCCATGTGGGCTGTGTTTCAAGTTCGATGAGTGCTGGAAGCCCAACCACAGATGCCAGGTCCGTCAACGGCATCCTTTGGTGGTGGACATGGACGACGAGGAAGAAGAAGAGGGGAAGATCGAAGAAGAAGGGGTGACTTTGGGGCCTGAAACGAACGCGGCTGAAAAGGCTCTACAACTTTCTTTGCATAGTCGGTTGGGACTTACTTCAAATCTGGATCAGCGTGCAAATTCAGATCCAGCAGAAACCAAAGGGTGGGTCACAACGAATTTGGGCCAGGACAACTTAAACCATATGAGCCCATTTAATCCTTCAACAACAATCTCTAATACCACAAACAAAGGGCAAACCGATTCGCTCGTTACTCCACCAGAAAACCCTAAGGAAGGGTCATCTGCGAAGGCATCTGCGTATGTCGCCAGCAACTGCTCGACGGAGAGCCTCTCCGGCCAGGGGCGACGGCATTCCCAAGCCGAGTTCCATGATCGACAGCAACGTGGGTTGTGTTCCAAGTGCGAAGAGCATTGGAGCCCCAATCACAGATGTCAGCTCCCTATGCAACGTGTGGACGACTATGACGACAAGGAAGAGGGAGACAGAAACGATGACAGAGCAGCGGTGGCAGCTTTATCAAGCGTTGGAGATGTTGGCCAAAATCCTCCGATGGTGGAGGTTGTCAATAAACAAGTCCTTCCCGCCAACATTTCTGAGTTTATCTCCTCCTATCATTCTGCGACGGTGGATATCAGAATCAAGGAACCCATTAGCTTGCTTTCAAACCGCCTGGGATCATGGATGATAGTCAGAAAGGAGAACGACGGAACGTGGGGGCCTTGGGGCTGTCTTGAAGCATGGCGAGAGTTAGGCAACTCTAAGGTAATCAACGTAGTTAATAGTTTTCACATAGTTAACGACGATAAACAGGGAATTTTATGGGATGCAAATTCTGATTTTTTTTGGGACTGGATGGAACCCAAGAACAACCTGTGCCTAGCTATGTAAAACAATGGAAAGGTATATTTGGAAAAGAGCATTTTTCCACTGTCATTAATGTTTCTGATCAACATGAAAAAGCTGTTGTGTCTACTAATGAAAATCTTATAATTAGAGCTCATATTACTTGCTTTATGAAAACAAAGGCAGAGACACTCAGTTGCAAATTTGTAGTTAAGGGTTCAAGGGCAGTAATAAAATGGGATCCGGGTGGGAGTTATCATGCTTCAAGCATATCTGGGTCCCAACAATTCAGGCAATGGAATCCCGGAAAATAAAATAAAATTAACATCACCTGGAGGACAAGGTGATTGTTAGGGGGGGAGTATTGATACGAACCCACTTTGGTTTGGGCCTCACATGCAATAACTGACCCAATTGGCAATGCTGTTAACATGTGGGGATAGTGACTGAAATGCCCTCCAACATAATAGAGCATGAGTGTCATGGAGTTTGTTATATAGAGGGGAGGTAGTAAGGAAAGGGGATACCGGGAAATTAGAAGCATCTTGGGCCCTTTTGGGATTGGGAGAGAGTGGAACCTCTCATATGTGTTTCACACTATCTTTACTATTTTGCATTGTTATTTTCTTTTGGGAATTCTGTATTGTTCTTCTTATTAAACCTTTTCTGTAATGGATGTTCTGTATGTAATGTTGGTTGAGAAATATATGAACGAGGAAGATTCAGATTTATTTCCTTGAGTAATTTCTGTTTTAATTTGTATTCTGAGTTGGTCCTTATCAGCCTACCTTTATTAGTTCTATTTCTTGTGTGGTGTGAGATTTTGCTGCTTTTGTGTAGTGGTTGAAGACATATATAAGCGAAGGCAGCCATTGCCCACCATGGATGCTATATATTTCATCCAGCCAACCAAAGAGAAGTAATATATCTGCTGTTCTTTTGTGTTGCTGTTATTATGCAGTTTGTTATGAAGCATGCAACTAATGTCTCATTAAACATGTGTAGTTTACAAAACATTTTGGGAGTATAATTTTCTGTCTCTTGGCTGCAAATTAAGTTGTGCAGTTATTTATTGGGTTTTGAATTTTGAAACTCTCTCTTAAATTCTCCGCCAAAAGCCTTCCCTTTTAATTTATTTTTATGAAACCAAATGTTTATTTAATTTCTCTCCTTATGTTTACTTCAAAATATGTCATGAATTATTTCTTTACTTTTTATTTTATTTTATTTTTGTTTTGAGTTTTCCTTTTGTGTTCTTTACGAATTACATGATTATGCATTTCTTTGTCTCTCTATCTCTCTTCCTTCTAATTATTCATTTATAATGTAAAATGTTGAATGATAAATACGCTGCATTCTTTTGGCTGTATAAGACATTTTCATTTAGCTTTGATGTAGAATTAGTTAACCTAAATTGTCAATTTTTTCTTTGTTGGTCCATATTTAGTGATCTCTCCATTTCTGTTGGCAGTGTAATTATGTTTTTGTCAGACATGTCTGGAAGGGCACCCTTATACAGGAAGTACGTGGTGATTATTATATCTCCTGTGCGTGCAATTTTATCCTGGCTTCAACTTCTTTATTTTTAAGCCTGTTTTATTCTGTGTTCTTGTAGGGCATTTGTTTTCTTCAGTTCAACTATTTCCAGAGAATTAGTTATGGACATTAAGAAGGATACTAGGCTGTTGACCCGGTTAGGTGCACTTATAGAGGTGAAGATATTTTATTTAGAAACTAGATTGTGCTATATTTGTGCCCAAACAATTTCATTGCTCATGGTGATTTTTCCTGCTCACTTGGATGACAATATGCAGATGAATTTGGAGTATTTTGCCATAGACAGCCAGGTATATGTTTGTACACTTGTACTTCAATTTATTTCACTTCCCATCTGTCATATATGTCTCCTTTGTTCAATATGAAAATAATTAGTTAGTTACTTTTTAATTGTTAATAAAATTCTAGACTTATGATATGTAGAAGTGCTCCTTGTGTTGGTCCAGTCCCACATAGCCATAAATGAGTATCAAGTGATGAATCAGGATTTTCTTCTAATTTAATTTAATTTAAATAATTAGTTACCTTCTTTTTAATTGTTAATAAAATTCTAAACTTATGATATGGAGAAGTGCTCCTTGTGTTGGTCCAGTCCCACATGCCATAAATGAGTGTCAAGCGATGAATCAGGATTTTCTTCTAATTTAATTAATTAGAATCTATTAGCTGTTAAAGAAAATCTTCTCCAGATACAAACAAAGGCTGTGCTTAAAAACACTGAATAATCTGAACAACAGACTATGCTTAATTACATATTGCTGAATCTGCAGAGTTAGAAGCTTGATGTGGAATAACTTGAAGCTCTTTCCAAGAAGTGAAAAATGAACAACCACAAAATATGTAGATTAGAACGATCATCCATGCAAATTGGCAATTTTGATCATTCATGTGTATCTTTGACAATACCTCATTAGGAACTCAAAATTCATCAATCCTGCCTGTTAAGATCCTTCCGTTGAGAAATATTTATCAGCTTTTAATTATGCTCAGCAGGAATTCATTAAAAGTTTCTAATCTCAACATCATCCCATTATTTGGTGCCTTCAATTTTGAGGTGTGTTTTTTGTTATGTTAATGCAGGGTTTCATCACAAATAATGATAGATCTTTACAGGAGCTATTTGGGGATGAAGAGAATAACCATAAAGGTGTTGCATGTTTGAATGTAATGGCAATGCGGATTGCTACAGTGTTTGCTTCATTAAGAGTATGTGGACAGTGCTCTTTTTGATAAGAATACCAAAAATTGTAATCAATGCTTTATGATTGTTCAAACACGTGATTGAGAAGTCTTCTGAAGCATGTAAATATTTTTTTTAGGAATTTCCTTATGTTCGCTTTCGTGCTGCCAAGTCCCTTGATGCAACCACAATGACTACTTTCCGGGATCTGATTCCTACAAAGCTTGCTGCTGGAGTCTGGGACTGTCTTATGAAATATAAAAAAAGTATACCTAATTTTCCTCAGACAGAGACCTGCGAGTTGCTCATTCTTGACAGATCTATTGATCAGGTTTCTTAGCTCCATTTGTTGTTAAATGATTTATAATATTCTTTTGACAGGCTTTCATGTTTGCAATGAGGATATTATTCTGATGTTGTAGATTGCTCCTGTGATACATGAATGGACATATGATGCCATGTGTCATGATTTGCTGAATATGGAGGGGAATAAATTTGTTCATGAAGTAATGTCTACAATTTCCCTTTCTCTCTCTGAATTTGTGTCCTCTCTCTTGTACATAAACACAAATCTGCTGTATTTTTAAGGTTCCTGGCAAAACTGGTGGTCCGCCTGAGAAAAAAGAAGTTCTTTTGGAGGATCATGATCCTGTCTGGCTTGAGCTTCGTCATGCACATATTGCAGATGTAGGTCCTTCTTTTTACTATCCTAGACTTAAGCAACGTGAATACCTTCTGATATTCATGACCATGCCAGGCTAGTGAACGGTTGCATGTGAAGATGACCAGCTTCATTTCAAAGAACAAAGCTGCACAAATCCAACATGGTTCAAGGTGAGTGATAATTTTCTGGGGATTTCTCATCAATGGCATCATTATATAAGAGGATACTAAAAGGGTTAAACCTTCAGTGCACAAAGGCTCCCTGATTTTGTAAGGATAGATTGAGGTTGACTGTATATAATTTTATTCTCGCTTTTTTTACGAATAGGCTGTTTTCTAGATTTGAACCGATAACCTTCCGATCACAAAAAAAATCCTTACCACTGCCCCAAGGTTATATAAGAGGATACTGATGCTGAAATGACTGAGTGGTTTAGACATTATCAGAAATTAAACATTTGCCTAATTTTGCAATTTTTATTTTTACTTTTTGATAAGACTGTATGGTTTAACTCACCCTATGGATTGACTCGAAATCATTCTTCACCGTGATATAAAAATTGACATTTTCCACCATGTGGTTTGCTCTGTTATTAGGGATGTAAATAGGACAAACGGCTTGTCAGGGGTTTACACCCTAGCCTGCCTTTGGCCTATTTTAAAATTTGTACAGGCTTGAGATAAGTAAATGCCCTCTTTAGAAATCAGTCCACAACCCTATTTTAAAAGGCTTGACCTCTAAGCCTCTAAGTCCGACTTGTATTTTTTATTAAAATAATATCTTGTTATTTTTTAATAAAATAATATTTTGAGCTATGGTGTGGCTTCAACTATTGTACTATTTTGACTTTCCATCAACTTAAACATACAAAATAAAAAAAATAATATAACCTATATTTTAATTATTACAGAATACAATATGTCATTTTTGAAGGCTTGATAGACTTGATAGGGTAGGTCAAGCCTTGTATTTTTTAAAAACAAGTCAGGCCGAACTTATAATTTGGCTTGTATCAGACTAACAAGTCAAGCCAGACTTGAAATATTTTACATAAGCCTAACTTGGTCTGACTTATTTACACCCCTATCTGTTATCACATAACTGCCCCCAGTATTTTTGTCCATTTTGCAACAGCTAGGGATGTGTCAAAGGTGCAAATCACAGATGGCAAAGTATCAATTTTTTTATCCACTAGACAGTGAATTTGGGTCAAACACGTATGTTGTTAAACTAATATTAAACTTAGCTTGCATGCTATTCACGTGTATTTTTTCGTCACAGTTGCGGAAAAAACTCACGGGTCATGTAGTAGCAAACTAAACCATTTGGTGTCGAAGTGTCAATTTTGGTGCCATGGAAGAGAAAATGAATTTGGGTCAAAACACAGGGTGGGATACTGTAATTTACCCTTCTTATTAAATCTTTATGACTTAAGAATCTGAATTTAACATCCAGCTATGATAATTTGAGTTTATAATGCTCAACTTAGTATGTCAAACTCTTTTACTTAGGAATATGGTGTGTCAATGGTTCTGTTTATGTTGCCACTAAATTTTTATGGTGAAACAAGGGTAGGAATTGACAGTTTTTATTATTTTGAAAAAGAAGATACAGGAAGATAACACTCACAAAGAAAGACACTAGCTCATAGAGCTCCAAGGGCAAGCCCTTTACAATGAGATCACTCTCACTCACTAGAAGATAGAAGATAGTTGGATAATTGACTGTCTATTCTCGTTACCGAGCCCTTATTCTGGCCTTTTTTTCCTCGTCTCATAAACTACTATTCCCCCACTTTAGCCTTTATTCCTTTGTCATTCAAATCATCCTTATTAATTTACTCTTACCTCCTCTTACCACCCGACCTACCACAAATAGCATATTTGGATACCATGTCAAAATAATGTTTGCATTGAATGAATGCATTTTAACGAGATTGAGCTTCCTTGGTTGCTTGGCCCAAAAGAAATGTTGGGCTGCTCGAACATCGTAACACAGATGTTCCAGCAGAACTTTGTCCACCTGCTTGAACATATATTTTGACATATTGCCCTCAGTATAATATATAAATGATATTCTTTTTTTGGGGGGTGATTTCATATTCAAAAGTAATTTTTATCTAACTTATGCAAAGCTGTTATTTATTATTGATAACTCCCAGTTTTGTATTAAAAAATTTCAAACCTGTGCTGTTGTGTAAAATGGTCAAGTACTGATTGGAAATCAGAGGCATGTGTGTTTTGTTGTTGAGAAAATTTGGCCCTTTTCAAATTTAACAACGCCTAGATTTGGAGTTTGATGGAAATATTTTTTTTTATTCATTTAATTCCTGTCATAATAAATTTCACTTAAATTATCAATCTGTGTTGTATTTATAGAGATAGTGGTGAAATGTCGACAAGGGACTTACAAAAGATGGTTCAAGCACTTCCACAATACAGTGAACAAATTGACAAGCTCTCCCTCCATGTAGAGGTTAGTTCTTTTGTATTGCAATATTGATAATAGAACTATTTCTTTTCTTTTTTTTCTTATAATGGCTGTATGTTATGTTTTGCACAAATACATGTGCTATCTACACTTTGAATCTTCCTAGAACAGTCCTTCTACAATTTGCGTCTGTCCTGATGAAAAAATCTTATTGTTGTCTCTGGTAATGCCTTATTTTTAATTGCCTAGTCGAGCAATCATTTTAGCTTTGTTGTTCCCTTATTACCGCCTCCCTGTTTAATCAAACAGAACTTATAGATGTTACCTGTTACCCTGCGTCATATGAAGCTTCCCTCATGATTCTTGCTGATGGATGGCAGAATAAATGAACTTTTGCGCTCAAGTTTTTTAGATACACTTGAAAGTTAGTTCCTTTTGCATAATTGATTGACATTAGAGTTCAATTGTGTGTCATGAATTTAATTATGTTAAATTAATTTGCAGGTGTTGTTGATTTGCAGGTTCCTACAGTTTAAAAACTATAAATGGGTCCCTGTAGTTTCAAAAAAGAATTCAATGGGGTCCCTAAATCCAGTCTATTATTTGGTCGTTGTGGCTTATTGGGACTATTGATTTTTTTATTTTTATTTTGCATTTACAGGGACTCATGTATGGTTTTAAACGATATGGACCTATTTAAAAAATACATGGACTTGGAGATTAATATGACCATTTAATAATGATAGTGGATCTGATTATGTCATGAATGCCAATGCTTTAGCTTTATAAATGATGGGTTTCTTTGTCCAGATTGCAGGAAAAATTAACAGAATCATTAGGGATTCAGGACTGAGGGAACTTGGCCAGCTGGAGCAAGATCTTGTTTTTGGAGATGCAACGATGAAAGATGTGATCAAATTTTTGACTATGAAAGAAGTAAGAAATTCATAGAGGGGGAAAGGAAATAGACGTTCCTTACACTGATTCAATGCACATATGAAAATGAATGAGAAAGCTTTTTATGCAAGATATGAGTTGTGAAATTAGACATGCAACTTTTGCGCTGTTTCATTTATTAAATATCATGTAAATACCGCTTTATGCAGGATACAACCCGTGAAAATAAGTTGCGCTTGTTGATGATTCTTGCAGCTGTTTATCCTGAGAAATTTGAGGGAGAAAAGGGTCTGAATTTGATGAAGGTATGGTTTCTTTCTTACTGGGTGGCAACTTAATTTCCACTTCCTGTTCATTTTATATTCCAAAGAATAAATATGCTGTTAATGATGTAATTCCTAGCCCCTGTAATGATATGTCTATCCAATTTTACCTTTCAAATCATTTCAGGTAGCACAATTGACAGATGAGGATATGAATGCTGTGAATAATTTGAGAATGCTTGTGGGGCAACAAGATACCAAAAAAAGTTTGACGAGTGCTTTCGGTCTTAAGTTTGATATCCACAAGGTAAAGGTAATTTCTAGTTTGAATATGTGATGTTTCAATGTTACATTACCTATAAAAAGTGTTCTTTTAAGTTGTCAGAAGAAGCGTGCTGCGAGGAAAGAACGTTCTGGTGAAGAGGAAAAATGGCAGTTATCACGCTTTTATCCCATAATAGAGGTACTAATTCGTTAATATGATTTTCCCACATATGCATCCGCTTATGAAAATTTCAGCGAGAGGTTAGCATTAGCATTGGCAAGGCTGCTGTTGGGTAGCTTTCTATTGCCTTTTCCTTATTTATTTATGGACTTTGCATGATAGTGTTAACGATGTAGTTGTTTGTTTGAAGATTCCAACTATAATTTTTGCTGTTAATATGCTAAATAAGCAAACAGCTATTTACTATTCTATCTTTTAACATAAATGTAATATAAAGAAACTCCATTTTCCCATATGATGAACAATTTTTATTTATAAGGATAATATCTTTTGATAATCTTATTCGTTGCATGTTTAGCTTCAAACTAAATTTTATAGCCTCGTATGTGATGAGTGGATGATTATTCAGGAACTCATTGAAAAAATCGCAAAAAATGAATTGTCAAAGGAAGACTATCCTTGTTTGAATGATCCAAGTCCAACTTTCCACGGCTCACCTTTTGCTGGGTCTGTAAACCAAAATCCTCACGCTCATTCAATGAGATCAAGACGCACACCAACTTGGGCTCGACCGCGAGGCTCTGATGATGGATATTCAAGGTTTTATGTTCCTTCTTCCTCTGTACTTCTGATGAGATTAGTTTATTTTTCTTTCTTCATCCATTAACCTGTTCTTTCCTCTACATGCTTGCTTATTATTCCCCTTCTCTCCTGAATTGTTTCGATTTGCATAAGCTTGTTATTATATATAGATAATTTGTTGGGAACTACCATGTATCTGTTGGAATTGCCAGCTAAGCTGCAACTTTCTCACATGTAATTTTATATTTTCCTGCTGGCATACAGTGATTCGGTGCTTAGACATGCATCGAGTGATTTCAAGAAGATGGGGCGGCGAATTTTTGTTTTCATTGTGGGTGGAGCAACAAGATCGGAGGTTTGAATAATTCTTTTGATAAAACGAGACTGTAATATTTAATCTTTTTAATGATTTTCTGGTCTGATAGGATGTGTTAATCCTCAGCTTAGGGTTTGCCACAAGCTTACTGGAAAGCTGAAGAGGGAAATTATTCTGGGCTCATCAAGTCTTGATGATCCTGCACAATTTATTACGGTATTGAAGTTTTTAACCTTTTTTCAATGCCAAATGAGCTCCTGAACCAGGAATTGCAATTTGCCATAACCATTGTATGCTGTTTTTCTTCTTTTGCAGAAATTGAAGATGCTAACGTCACATGAACTATCATTAGATGATATCCAGATATGATGTTATGGATTTGGGAACTCGAAGATGAGTTTATGCTTACTTGTAAAATATATTTGTGTTGTAATCATATAGTTTAATCATCTCAATGGTTCAGCCGAGCCGCTTAATGACAGACTAACCCGAATAATTTTTCTAGCTTTCAGTTAACAGACTCGGATTCGAATCTACTGAAGCTAGAACACCTTGGTTGTACCCAAATAGGCACTTTTTATACTGCTGGGAAGGGGGAGAAAAAATAAATTCATTCGGTGAATTGCTTCTCAACACGAATCTGTAGGCGTAGTAGCGCATACAATCCAGGAACGCGGGTAAAATGTTTCTGCTAAATTGCTCAAAAAATCTCATCATCAAATTAAGGCATTTACGTAACACATGATTCAGTTGACATTTTGCATATTTTGATTTGCAGATGTGAAAATTTCAAAAACTAAGATATTGAATTTACTCATTTATCACTCTTTCGACGCTTTCTTCTTTAAGCTATTAAGGAGCACATTTGTCCCAATTTATTATCTCGGTCAATAATTATGTGTTGATCAAATTATCTATGAATAGCAATGGGAGCTATTTATGGAATGACTTCATCTGACTCTTGTAAGAAAGAACCGCTCGATTTATGAATTCGTCATTGACACTAAATCCAAATTAGGATTAATCAGTAACTTAAGTTTTTTTTCTTAAAAAAAAAAGGTTATCAGGGGAAACTTAATTAATCCCGAGACCTTTCCCCAAAAAGTATAGTAGAAATCGCTTAAAGCAACATTACTACTAAACATGAGCAGCATGTGAAATAGAATTGTACCTTTCAAACTTTTTGTCATCGTGATTTCCTTCTTGTCGTGCCCCTTTACTAACATCAACAATCACAATGAGAAATGAAGAACCAAGAATTGTATTAAAAAGAAGGTAAGAAAATATTGGCATAGTCCACCCCCACGATGAAGGAAACTGTTGAGCAAACCCTAAAAATATTATCTCATAATAATTTGATTGCTTTTCTGTACTGAGTAAGCATTCAAGGGTTCGCCATCAACTTTAATATGAATGTGACCAACTAGTTCGAATTGGAGCACAAGAAATCTGAGTTTCATTAATTAATCATAAGGATGTACACCTATGTAAAACGTGGTATTCAACACTCAAGGCTATTCCTGCTCCAAATATCATCAACCAAACCACGGCACTGTACTCGGCAACTCTACCTAAACACAAAATATGTCTAGAAACCTAGAAGTAAATACGCTTCAATCTTCTGGATCACAACAGCGAATTAATTTCTCCTTTTTAGATAGCAAGTTTTCAGCTTTTCTCTTTCTCAGCTCAGCAACTAATTTATTGACATATGCAATGTATCTGTCAACATCAAATTTTCTTTTGCAGCCTGCATAGTTCATGTATCGAATTTTCCCAAAAATGGACCGCTCTCGCCAACCCTGAAATGCACAAAAACATAAATGCCAAAACTGATAATCCTATAAGAAAATTTACAATTCTACTCGAGCTTTATATGATCCCTTGCGAGCACCCAATTTTACAGTTCATTCAGTTCTCAAAAAATTGGAAGGAAAGCTCAAAACAGTTACGCAGATAATGCAACAACCACAGCCTACATGAACCAAAAGCACTCTATACCAAAAAAAAGAAGAAAAAAACACTTCATTCTTGCCCAACATTCAAATTAATTTGTAGCGAACAAAAACAATGTAGGCGAACCTGATCATGAACCCCGCATATTGACCACATGCAGCCAACATAACCATTTGGATCCCTCCCATCTATTTCATACTGCAATCAGGTGAAATTGCCGTCATTTATACATGGTAATAACCTTCATCTCATGAAAACCGCATTTGTAATTAGATTACTTCTCTATGTTGAGTAAGGATTATTAGATTACCTTATCATTTAAATATATAGATATCTCAAGGGCTTCTTCAGGTCCTCTTGTCCACTCAAGTATCTTCTTTGCCCAATACATTCTGTACATGAAATTTTCATTTTGAGGAAACAAACATAACTGTAAGGTGAAACCCTTGGAAGCTAATTTTATATTACAAGGGATATGGTGTGTCTCTGCTAAGATATTATAGAGCATCATGCATAACGAGAAAATATTACAATTCCACAAATGAAGTAGAAATCCAAAAAAAGGAGACAAGAATTCATCAAGATGTTACGTACCGCATAAAACCATGCATTTTCCCATAGTAGACCATCTCCATCTGAGAAGCATTCCAGAGCTGCTATTTGCAACACAAAACGATATAATGCTTATTAAGACAAATGCCAAATGAAGCAGTAAAAAATCCACATAGAGTTAGAAAGAGCTTAAGTGTGATAATGCATTAGTACAGGAGCTTTAAGAAGATTTGAGCTTGAGGGCCAGTAAATGATCATAAGTAAGAAAGTGCTAGAGTCTTTGAATGAGTCAGGTGGTTTAATTGGAAATATTATAATTATCCATGAAAGATTGGCTTACGGGATCAGCAGTCTGTGCCTTCTCAAGTTGCTCCCTCCTGCAAAAAACAAAAACTACATGAGCTTGCAAGTAAACAAAAAACATTATAAAGTTAGAAACAAAACAAAGTGACTCACGTGTAAATATGTTCTCGCTTATCAGTGGCATGATCCAGTAATGTCTTACGAGCCCACTCCCATGCTCCTTGTAATGAATCGTAATGAGGCTCATAGAAGCAAAAGTTATCAGCAAGTTCTCTCCTCACAATCAACTCCTCCAAGAAAGCATCAATTGCCTATTGACCAACAGCAAAGAATAAGATATTTATAGCCATTTTTTTGGAAGAAAACAAAGCAACAGATAGGATGAATTTACTCCAAACTGCAGGACAAGTAAAACAAACCTGAGGATGTGAAGTTCGCAGCTTACGTGCTTCTAAAGCACAGCGCTGAGAAGATATCTGACCAAAATGCAAATAAGGAGATAAACCAGAAAGTGCAGTGGGTTTGCACGGGTTGTTGCGATCTAAGGAATAATTTTTCAACCTTTTAGTCAAGAATCCATTTTTACTTCCCATCAACACTTCCATTGCAGCAATTTCCCCAGGCTCACACCAATTAACTTCAGGAACCTCAGCTCCTCTCCTGGTTTTAGAAAGAAAAAAAAGTGTCAACATATCCACATGATTATGATTTGAGCTTAGAAGGGTATCTATATATCTCTAACCTTAATACATCAGCAATGAGATCATCCCAATCGATAGAAGGGTTCTCAGTGATGTCCCATTTCCTAGTTGGTGGTTCAAGTTCAATGTTAGGAAAATCAACGAGATACTCAGAAAGCCTTTTGTTTATCTTTCCCCTTATGGTCCTAGCACTATACTCCAATTTATCAGAGGCAACCCAAAGGGGTACCACGTTATGAGCATCCACTTCTTGTACGGTAACCAAATCGCTTACCCTCTCGCAAATCAACGTTTTGCACCTTCGTACTTCCCGCAAGGGTGAGAAATCTGTCACCAACAGTGAAGCTCCACATTCTATAAGAAACTTGGGTATAGTCTCCTCTGCCTCTCCCTACAATACAATTTTATTTTATTTTTTTTTAAAAAAAAGTATGTATTATATTTGAAAGAGTTAAGAAAAATCAAGTTTTTTTTTATTACAATTAGGATTACCCGAATCAAGAAAAAGGGGATTTGAAGAGTGTGTCCCATTTGGTGGTACAATTGGCGCAAACCCCTCAGCATGAACCCTAAATGACGAGACTTTGCACCCAGAAACTGATCGAAGAGATTGAAAACAACGGCTACGGGAACGTTAGCTTTGTTGGCCTGATGAACGGCGTGGATGAGAGCCCAATTGTCTCTGAGCCGTTGATCTCTGAACATCCAGTACACAACGGGACCCGCACCCGCTTTTCCATCAGAACGGCCCGAACCTTCTTTCAGGGTCCGAATGCGACCCGGCTGGACCGACATTGGCGACGGTGCGGAAGCCATGGCCGTGAATCCTAACTAGCTTACATGCGCCTTGAGTCACAATTCTTGGAGGGAACTCTAACCGTTCAATGCGTGGTTTCAAACGAACATACGATGTTCCATTCACTGTCTGACACGTGTATAGTTATAATATTATTTCTTATTGGATTTGATCTTAGGCCCAAAATAAAGCTGGATATCTCCGGCCCACAAGAAAACATCGAGTGGGTCATTCCTCAAGCCCACTAAAGAAACTATTGATATGCATAAACAAATTAACAATTAACTAACTGATACTGTTATTCTAACCAAAAAAGGAAAAACTCGATTGGAATATTTTTCAAAATTTGATAGCAGTGATTAGTTAGTAGACATTTTGTTAATCATCCTGGTTTGAGCTATGACCCGTAGACTATGGCCCTCTGTCCCCATCCCCCAACGTTAGGTTTGGTTTGCAAGTTATGTCAATGCACGATTATAGGCTTAACTATTGGAGATTCTTGTATGATTCAATTCAACTGTGCATTTTTATATGGTTATGAACAAGCAACGCAAATCATTCTCATCAAGGTGAGATAACACAAATTAAAGAACCTGTAGTGCAATCACTTTCGGTTATGTTTCTGTGGATGGGGACGGTCCTGTTGTCAAGGAGCTCTAAATTCACAGATCTAAACAAATACATCAATAAGGGTAAGGATAGGAGGCATGGAAAAAGGATTCACTCCCTGTGGCAAACACAAATACCTACTCTATAGGGTGCTAGTCCTAGCAAATACATTATGCATCCAGCTGCTGCTACTAGTAGGAGGAGGTGGTGGTCCACCACTGAAAATGCAATTACGGTTCTGTTGATTTTTTTTTTTTTTTGGTAAGCTACGGTTCTGTTGATTTTAAATCATGGGATTTAGTTCTCTCATGTGATTAGATAGATGTATTAAAATGGATTTACACGACACAAATCCAACACGATATGAATTTGATACACACGAATATATCAATATGAATACAATACAAATTTTTATTTATGTCAAAATCTGTAACGCGAATATGACACGAATTTTTTGTGGATTCACACATACGACATTAATAACACACAAAACAGGGGTCAAGACGTAATCGACCAAAAAAAATAAAAAAATGGGTTGAAATTTAAAAATAAAAATAAATAAAAAAATAATTAAATAGTATGGGTCGATACGAATTTGACACGTGAGACGAATTTTTTGCAGGTCAACCCGAATATAAATTTTCGTGTCCTGTTGTAGGTTGATCCGCATGTCATAACCTATTTTGACATCCCTACTGACCCTACATATAGTAGAAGAGAAATTGTCTTATGTTGTGAGACAAATAAAGTAAGACTTATCTATTTTTTTTAAAAAAAATAGAGACACTTACATTTTTTATGTAAGTATAATAGATAAATCTCATGTAATATAACAATATAATTTCTCTTAAATTATATGGGATTTATTATTCTTATGTTATATAAAATAGAATTTATTTTTTACACACACAAATTCAAGATGAGTTCTACTTTTTTTTTCTCTTTCTCTAAAAGTGAACTCTATTTATATAAATGATTCAGTAGGAGATAATATTTATCTCTTATTACATAAAAAAAATTATTATCCAAATTATACATGCTCTTCATTTGTCATACCGTACGTTTTGCACAATTTCTCGTCTTTACACCGTGACTGGCAAATTAAATAAGTGCTTAGCCATCATATCACCTATAACGTGGAAATTGTTAACTAATCCAACCAATTTTATTTTTTTTTCCTTTCCTTTTGTAGTAAGCAAGCGATCACATAACATCAATTGGCAATGCTTATACCCCACCCACCATATCTCGTTTAGAGATTTGGTATCCGTACAGTAACATAAAGGCAAAACCTACTCTAACCTCAAACCTGAATTTCCACTTTCCAGCTTCCCATTTGAATTGGAGTCCACTCGAGTCGTGTAATGGGTAGTCTTCGTATTTCATCAAATTCGTCCGATAGGACCATGATGTGTATCCAGTCCCAGCTAGCCACGTCATGGAATTGAGCACCTGCAGAAATCGTACTAGCATACTATAATGATAATACGAAAAAGCACCATCTACGGCTTAAATTAAAGTGATTTTAAAATAGGGTTTTACTTCTACTTTATCCGCTGGGTTATGGGTAGGTGGGCATTTTTCCAGAGAGGTTTCTAATCTACCCCTGTGTGATTCCTGTTGAAGCATATACTCGGGCAGGGCAGACGATTTCAAAACGGACTTCCCATTCATTAGATAGAGAAGATCACCAAGATTTCGTGATCCGCTGCCGAACTTATTCCAATTCAATAACGGATCTCAATATTATGCCTTGAAGAGGACTCGAACCTCCACGCTCTGTAGCACGAGATTTTGAGTCTTCGCTCAAAAAGAACGCTAAAAGATTTTAATCGTAAATGAGATGATTTATTACGTAGAAAAAGGAAGATAGATTCGTATTCCCATACATAAAAATTATACATAAACAATAAAAATCTTGGATTACTTTTTGAAAAAGTAAAAATCAATTTTTCTGGAGTAATAAGACTACTATTCCAATTACAATACTCATAAAGAAACAACCTTAATAAATGAAAGAAAGGGGTATCTTTCAACCAGTATCGAAGAGTTTGAACCAATATTTCCAGATGGATAGGATAGGGTATTCGTATATCTGACACATAGTTTAAATATGTAAATTTATCCTCGAAAAGGGGAAAAATTGAATGAATTGATCGCAAATTATTATATGATTTTACTATTTGTGTTTCCTCTAAAAAAGAACTTAATTGTGGGGAAAATGAAATTTCCACAACGACGGTAAATCCCCCTGATATTACTCGAGAATCTAAATACTTGTTATACGCCAAAAATTTATTTTTGTTAAAATCATTAGCAGAAAGAATCAAAGGATTCTGTTGATACATTCGAGTAATTAAACGTTTTACAATTAGTAAACTAGATTTCTTGTCATAACCTTCATTTTTTAGGAAAATGGATCTATTTAAATCATGTCCGTAAGCGATTCCATAAATATACTCCCGAAAAATAAGTGGGTATAGGAAGTCCTGTTGACGGGATCTATCAAATTCTAAAGTCCATAATCTTATATGAAGAACTACTGAACTCAATCACTTGCTGCCGTTACTCTTCAGTTTTCTGTTGAGGTCTATCCTGTAGAGGTACTCCAATTGGATCAGTGATCGATTTCTAGGTTTCGCCGTAAACCTAATTGGTTACTTCCAATTACGTAAATCCATAGATGCTATATTGGATTTGAATCAGATTTCGGCGGATCAATCTATATTGATTGACTGCCTCCATTATGTTCTTGCTAGCAAAGACCACTATTTTTGGCTTTGGATCTTCCAAATCATTCCCGCAAGAGGTCCGGACCCATTTTTTTATGATCCTTCGATAAAAAGATTCATTCTCTTCATAAAAAAAGAGGAGGTAGAACCAATAAAGATTTTTTTTTCGATTCATCCCTGGAGTTGAATACCTCATTCAAGAATTGTTTTTGATCCAATCCGGAGGAATCCATACAAAAGGCAAATCCCTTAGGATACACCAGATCCGGCTCGGTTATTGATAGAGTGAATAGATCTGCCATTTCTTGAAATATCTCTTCTGATTCAAAATCGTGGTGTAACGTGTATCCCCCCCTATTCCGGTCATGGAATAGATGAAATAAACCAAAAAACGGATTTTTGTTCAAGAATGAAATCTTATTGGAACCGTCCAGTTCATCCTTCGGAACCATATCCCATCCTGGATTTGATGAAATAGGATGAATTGAGACGGTATTTTGTAAATACATAATTATCTTGAATATATTAACTATTTCTTTCTTTCAATGGTATCTCCAATGATAGCCCCTCTGGGGTGTAAAATATATCTTTTCTCACCATCTCCATATTACTATATCTCTAGAGTCCATAATCTTATATGAAGAACTACTGAACTCAATCACTTGCTGCAGTTACTCTTCAGTTTTCTGTTGAGGTCTATCCTGTAGAGGTACTCCAATTGGATCAGTGATCAATTTCTAGGTTTCGCCGTAAACCTAATTGGTTACTTCCAATTACGTAAATCAATAGTTCAAACCGCACTCAAAGGTAGGGCATTTCCCATTTTTATAGGAACTCTGATTCAAAATTATCTCGATTCAACCCCCCGTGCGGAATTGCCAAATCATTTGACTCTTCACCCATTCCAATATAAGGGATTAGTCAATCAAATAATAGATGGTAAATGGGTTGGTTTGCAAATAAATGAATTGTTAGTTGTAGAATATTATTCTCGTCAGACTTAAACCTAACTAAAAGAATAGGGTTTTGATACGAGAACTTTATACCATTCCTATATCATAGACATGGATATAGGAATATTTTCGTTCCTTGCCTACCCTTTCTTCCACATGAAAGAAAGTTTGAATAGCAGTATCCGTTGTTACTTGAAACATTGGGTCGGTAACATCGATGAATTTGATAAAGGTACGGAAAGAGAGGGATTCGAACCCTCGGTAAACAAAAAGCATGTTATATGAGAGAAGTTATCTCATGTTGTAAGATAAATTAAGTGGAGTTTACCAAATTTTTTTTATTTTTAAAAAAAGAGGCACGTCTTTTTATGTGAGTATAGAATGAGAGAGGAGTCTTATGTCACATAAGAGTATAATTTCCCTTTAAAATAAGAGTTATATTTATTTCATTTTATATGAGAGAAATAATTTTTTTATATATACAAAAGAGGGGTGAGTCTCATCTCAATTCTCATCACTCTTTTTCTCTCTCTCCTCTTATCTACGAGTCTCATTTGTAATTTTATTTTTACAACATGAAATAACTATTTTTCTATAACATAAAAAAAATATTTCCCTTCAAATAAAGCTAAAATGATGATGCTTGAACAATTATTTTGTGTTAGCCTTTAAAAAACCACAAACAAGTAAACTTATCAAACACAATCCATTTTAAAGTTTATGTCCGTACATGTATTTTTACACAACCCATATTATTTAATTACTGTCATTTATCTTTAATGTAAGTAAATGTGTGCTCAAGAGATAAGAACTATTACCCTTACATTTCCCAAAATCATTTACTTAAGATCAAGTCATTTTGCTATTTCTTTTTCTTTTTTAAATTTAAAAATCTCCTTATGATTTTACTTTAGATCACTTATATACTCTTATGATTTTTTTTAATCATTTACCTCCTATGATTTTTTTATCCATGCTCATCCTTATCTATTTTATCCTTCTTAATTAGAATAAGAGAATAGACTCATGCCAAAAAAAAGAAAGATAAAAAATATTGGAAACTTACAATACTTACGAAAAAACTAAAATAAAAAAATACAAGAAAAAATAAGATTAAATATATTAGAAACTTACAACATTGACAGAAAAGACTAAAATTAAAAATAGTCTAAATCAAAAAGAAGAAAATAGATTGAAGACCAAAAAAAATAAAAGAAAAATTAAGTTCAAGAATAAAATGAAAAAGAAATCATTGTTGTAAGTTTTCAACATATTTAGTTTTATCTTCTTCTTTTTTCCCTAGTCTATTTTATTCTTTTTGATTTATATATATTTAGTCTTTTTTTTCTTCTATTTTTTTATTTTTTGTCTTTTCTATCACTATTAAAAGAAAGAGTAAATACCATTTTTGGTCATCAGCAAATTTCAGAATACCCGCTTTAGTCCCTAACAAATAAAAAAGTCCATCGTTATTACCAAGAAAAAAAAGGTCCATCGTGGTTCCTAAGAAATTCAAAATGGACCAATTTTAGTCCTTTTAGGGACTAATATGAGTCTTTTTTAAATTTGTGAGGGGCCACGATTTTAACTAAATGGGTCCATTTTAAATTTTTTAAGGACCACAATGGACTTTTTTTATTTGCTAGGGACTAAAGCGGGTATCGTGAAATTTGTCAAGTAAAAAAAAGGGTATTTACTCTAAAAGAAAAAAAATCAGTGTTGTAAATTTTCAACATATTTGATCTTATTTTTTATTTTATTTATTTTTTGTCTTTGGTTTATTTTCTTTTTTTTATTTAGACTATTTTTCATTTTTATTTTATTTTTCGTCTTTTGTGTTACTGTTGTAAGTTTCCGGTATATGTGTTCTTGCTTTTTTTTTGTCCTAAGATTATTTTCTTCTTTTTGATTTAGATATATTTAATTTTTTTTAATCTTTTCTATAAGTATTGTAAGTTTCCACCATATTTGATCTTGTTTTATTTTAATGTTTTATTTTTTTTATCCTTAGTCTATTTTGTTTTTCTAAGAAGGATAAAATAGGTAGATTAATTTAGTTTCTAATCATGTTAATGATAAATTTGGATAAAAAAACCATAAGGGGTAAGTGATTGAAAAAAAAGTATAGGAATGTAAATAATTCAAAGCAAAATTATAAGGAATTTTTTAACTTTTCCTTTTTTTCTTTTTATACAAATGACATTAAGTTTGAACTTATAATTCCATGAAAATTATCTTAACCCTTTGTTACTAGACTACTCTTAGTGGATGGATATTAAAATGATTGTGGGTCGTTATTTCATGGCTGATGGAATAAAACTTCCCCTTGCATGAACATGAACGAAAAAGAGAAAATAATTTCAGAAAACAAAAGAAAAGGAAAGAAGTGCATTAAAGAAATCATGATTCATCATAAAATCCAGTTATTTAAGTTAAGCATTGCGTTTTCCCAACTAAAATCATTGGCCCATTAACCGGTTCGATTCTTGTAACAAAATATTTCAAATGTTGAAACCACTGGATTCGAACTCGAGTTTCATGAGTATGCCCAACAACAACTTACCACTGGGCTGAGTTTGTTTGTTGGTTAATATGCACCATTTAATATATACATACACATATATATATATATATATATATATATATATATATATATATATATTTAGAGGTAGGATCCTTTGACACCAGTGTCAAAATTTAAATTTGACATCTCATCTGAGAGTCGTTGGATCAAAAAAGATAAATGATGTCACATGCTTGCAAATCAGAATCGTTAATCTTTTTTGATCTAATGACTCTCAGATGAAGTGTCAAATTTGAATTTTGACACTGGTGTCAAAGGATCCTACCTCTATCATTTAATAGAATTATTTAAAAATTGCATCTAGTGAGAATCAAACCCTTGTTGTGAAGATATAAATTGTTGTATTTACCACTAAGCTATATTTGGTTCTTGGTTTATTTGCACCATTTAAAATATTTATTATATAATTAAGTATAAAATATAAATTTATATACATATTTGGTTCATGCGATTGAACCAGTGGCCTACTGGTTAAATTAGTGACCACTGATCCAGTACCCCGACCGGGTTGATCATCGGTCCGGGTTTAATAAGATTGCCTAAAAGGCACAAAGGCATCAAGAAAAAAGCTCCTGAGAGTGTTTATTTTACATAAAAATTATGAGGAGGGTTATATTAATAATTTTTTTATAAATTTACAAATTATATTATGTCTTACCGACTTCATTCAAAAGTGTCTTACTGATGAGATATAATGTAGTTTATAAGAATTTGTAAACAAAAAATTTGTAAATATAAACTTTCCGAAAAAACTATATAACCAGTTAGAATCAACTTTTTGAAAGAGGAACTATTATGCAAGACAAATTAATAATTATTTTTTGACATATATTTTTGAGATTAATGTTTCTTATGTTATAGAAAATAATTTTATCTCCTACACACACATAAAAGTGTGTAAGACTCAAAATTTCATTTTCTATCTCTTCGTTTCACATGACCCTATATGAATCCCACACACTATTATATGTCTATAGAAAATAAAATATAAGAAATAATTTTATCTTCTATAACATAAAAAACAATAATCCCGATATTTTTACATATAACTATTATTTTGACTTTGAAATAAAAAGAACGTTTTTTTTTAGGGATAGGATATTGTGACAACCAAATAATGTTACTACCACATCTTAACCGTTGATTTCCGTCAATCAACGGTTATCATTTATTGCAAATTAATAATTAATTAATGAGTTTGATTTGAAAAACGATAACCGTTGATTAGCGGAAATCAACGGTT